TCGTCATCCTTGTCTTCATCAGGGTCGTCAAGATCTGAGTTGATTGCGTCTTCGTCAACCTCGTCATCATCGTAACCGTCGTAACCGGCAATTCCACCATGCTCCTTGCCCTTGGACCGCGCGGTGGCAGCTGACGAATGTCTCGTGGCTTCCTTAAGAGGCAGCATCAAGCCGCCGCCCTCCATGCTTTTGGCGTTGGCGGCAATCCGTGCGTGAATCATGCGATCAATATCAACACGTCCAATCTCGCGTTGAGACCCATCAGGGTTTCGTTGGAGCAGAACACCTTCAAAGTCGAAGTCGTCGCCTGCACCATCGGTCTGCGAGGGGTTCACACCTGGCTGACCGTTGCTAGGCGGGCGCTGCTGAGGCTGGCCCTGTTGAGGAACTCCAGGGCGATACTGCTGTTGCTGCTGCTGCTGCTGCTGAGGCTGGCCGGGCATTTGGGGCAGAGGCGGTTGGTTGGCGGGCCTGTTGGTCGCCGAAGCTTGAATGGCGTTCATGGAGGCCGCGCCTTTCTCACCGAACTGACCGCGCACATGTTGAGCGGCTCGGTAAGCTGCGAGCCCAGCGCTGTCTTGTTGAGATGGGGGCATCGGCACATTCTGCATGCCAGGCTCTGGCTTGATGTAAGGCTCCTCCTTCACAGGCATGTTACTGGCCTGCTGAGCCTGGTTTCCGCCAGGCAGAGGTAGACCAGGCACTGGGAGTTGCGGACTGAGCTGGGCCTGAGAGTATGGGGCCGCAGGCGGGGGAGCAGCCGTAGTCGGAGGTGGTGCAGCAGGAGCTGGAGCTTCCTTGACGGGGTCCCATGGAAACGCTGCGACCTCCAGTTGAGTGAGCTTTTCCTGCCATCCCTTCTTCAACTCTTCCAGCACACTCTCATCAACACCACCCTCCTCGAAATCGACTCGAGAAGAATTTATCACCTCATCGATGATTTGTGAGTAGACGTTACCCACCGCGTTGTTAGACATGGTGGCGTTTGTTGGTCGTCGTCAACTGTGTGTTTGTCGAAGAAAGTCGTGTCAAGCTTCGGTACCGACGAGACGGATGTGCGACTTTTGTGGTCGCGCCTTCTCCAACCTGATCCCTCCTTCCTGACTGTCGGATTAAGTTGGAATACCAAGTCGTGAAAATGTTCGAGGATATTGAATCGAAATCCGCCTCACAGGGTTGCTCTTGGGTCGTCAATGGGGAATCGCCTGCTCAATCCGCCACTTCTCGCTGCCCAAAATGGCATGCGCCTGTGTAAAATCGGTAACGGCGGAAACGCAATCGATTGCCGACGAGATCTCGCTGGTTGGTATCCGGAAATTTAAGATGTAGACAGGGTATCTGGCTGGGCCCTGTTTTTCGGTTGGTGATGTGTCCGGGTCAAGATTGCCTTTGTTCGGTGGGTTTCGTTTTGAGGCTCGAAGCAAGCGCTCGCCTATTAGTAAGCTTAGGCGGCAGCCGCACAGTGGGAAGGCTGAACTCAGGCACCTGCCAACTTCAAAGTGCCCGCAAACCGCCCGCGCGATGATCGCTGAAGGATCCACACTTCCCGCAGGGACTGATAAGGCATTAATTAACCCGATAAGCCAACCTGAGAAGTGGGTTGAAGCCGGAATGCGGGGTGTGAACAGCACCTCCGGTCGCCAGCAAGCAAATGTGGTTAAAGCCTTAGTTGAAATAACCTGCTGCACACTTCAGAAGCAACGAGATACTGAGCAAATGGTAATAGCAAAGGCAATCAAAGTAATGATATCAGAAAAAGGTAAAAAACCAGGTTTTCTTTATTGTAAGAGCGGTCCTTGTCACTGAACTGTGGCCGTCTTCTATGATACTACAGCACGTCCCTGACGATGCATTCCTTCGAAAAAAAACAAGCATTACAAATCTGTCCCATGCTAAACAGCAATGAATGATATCTTCTGTCGTAACTCATGACCAAGCAATTTCGTTTCCCGTGGAGAAGCCCTTTCGTGCCACGTAGAGTCGGATGCAATAAAACCAAACTCCTCGCTGAAGATGACCCCAACCGCCAGGAACCCATGACCGACAAATGCCAGAGGAGATATACCTACATTTATTGACGTCGTTTGACCGACATTCGCCAGGCTTGGTCGATGGTGAACCGTTTACCGGATGGTCATCTGCTTGACCATGTCCGCCTTTGCCGAAGACGTGCTGCTGCCAACACTGGCACTGGCACCGGCCTTCTTCTCGAAGACCTTCCAGAACTTCAGACTCTCATCGGCAGCTAAGTGATAGTGGTTAGCAGTTGTCATTGTTAGGTTTCATATTCCCAAGACTCACCTGCGGTAGCAAGCATCTGACCGTCAGGGCTAAGGCAGCTGTGCAAGACTCTGCTCTCGTGTGCAGGGATCTCGACGTTGCGAACCAGCGTGGGGTAGCTCCAGATGCTCAGGGAGTTGTCAGGGAAGCCGCTAGAGCTGACAATCTCACGGTAGTGGGGGCTCCATCGGAGGCTGGTGACCTGGGAGCCAGTGTCGATGCTGTTGACGCGAGCACCAGATGTGGAGTTCCAGAAGTGGATGTGGCGATCATAAGAGCCACCACCCGTAGCCAGAAGGTTCATGTTCCAGGGGCACCACGCAAGGGCCTTAACAGCAGCCTTGTGGTTGGTCTTGGTGAACTTAGGCACAGAGAGCGAGCGGGCGTCCCAGATAGAGACGAGGTTGTCGTTGCCTCCGGTGGCCAGTTGTGCACCATCCGACCGCCACTCCAGACCGCAGACTTCTGAAGTGTGAGAGACCAGCTCTGCAACCTTGTGCTCCGCAATGCGGACATCGTGGTTGAAAACGAGTCCGCTGCGAGCACCAGTAGACAGAAGGTGCTTGTTCCAGCCCATCACACCGATCCGGGTGTCGTGACCAAACATGCTGCGGACCTTCTGGGCCTCGGCCACATCCCAAATCTGAACCTCACCGGTGCCAAGACCAACACCGACATACGCGCCGTCACCAGACCACTTAACACTGCTGACGTACGTGTCGGGGCTTGTCTCAAGGAGGCAGCTGACGCTTCCCTCGTCAGCGGACCAGACGTAGACGTTGCGTTCAAGGCCGATGGCAACCTGGTTGCCTGAGCTCCAGTCGAGAAGGTTGAGGTAATAGTCGTCAATCAGACCAGGAGCATCGAGAACACGCTCAGGGGCAGTGGCAACGCGACGGCGGAATTGGGCTGACGTGGCGCTCGCAGGCTTGAGAGGGCGGTTGTATTGCTGGCGGAGGTCGATGGGCTTGGAAGACTCGGGGGGCGCAGGCTTAAATTGCAGAATGCGGGTGTTGAGGCTGACTCCGCAAGCGCTTGCAAGAGAATCTTGGTACGCAACGGTGTTGGGAGAAGGACGAGAGTAGGTGGAAGGCTCCTCGTCCTCAATGTTGAGACCCTCGAGGGCAGCGATGGCGTCCTCCGTTGCGGATGAGAGAACGTTGGATGCTTCGCTCACGCTGGCCTTGGAGCGCTTGTCGGGTCGGTCGAGCTTGCTGCTGCCGGCGTTGGAAATAGCAGAGCTGGCGCTACGGTTGGGGATGAAGCGGTCACCACCATAGTTGACAGTCGTTTTGCTGGTCTTTTGTCTGTGGGAGGTCTTCTTGGACTTGGCGCTAGAAGGCGTCTTGGAGGTTCCGGAGCTGGTCAAAGCGAAATCGGACAGGCCAAGCTCGAGAGCTCTGCGAGGAGTTGAAACGCCTCTGGCAATGTTGGACTTGGGAGAGTCGCGGTGAGACGACTTAGTGGTGGTGGATCTAGCCAAGTGGGCGGTGAGGTTGCCACCGTAGGTTGACTTGCCTGATGCGCGGTAGGCGTCGCTGCCAGACTGCTTCTCAGGGGTGAAGGGGGAAGAGTTCAGGTTCACCGAGACAGAGGTGGAATGCTGACGGGGCGAAGGTGTAAGAGGCATGCGACCGCCAGCGGTGCGGGAAGAAAAGAGACCCTTGTGGGACTTGATGGGGGTGGATACTGATGCAGTGGCCATTTTGAGTAGTGTATGTGGGGTATCGTGATGAAACGAATTGTGAATCTCCAACGGGTGCAGCTTGGCGCACCGAGGGAAGAGGTGATGAGAGCTCCAAGAGACTCTATCGAAAGGTTCCTGGATGTTTCGTGTGTTCTGTTAGTATTCTGTCGTTGTGCTCGATATTCGAAGTAGTGCCGTCACGAGAAGGACTCGAAGTCGGAAGGGCGACCAAATGGCTGTGGACAGCGATGAGATCTAGCGGACTTGATTGTTCTTATGGAAAGGCTTTGATTGAGAAGCTTGACCCAGCTCGAAAGCGTGGGAGAGCAGATTCAAGGTAGTAGAGGATAGCGGAAGTGAAGAGGTTTGGTATAGAGAGGAAAAAGCTCGAAGTTGGACAGGAGCTCTCATCATCTTTTATTTACTTTGTGCCCCACCATCATCGCGGCCGGGCAACGACGCTTGGGCCAGCGTTGCGGCGTTGCCAGATTGACATGAGTGGGGCTTTCTGACGTTGCACCGTCAAACTTCTCTCTGCCATGGAAACTGCCTAGTGACTGTTCACTGTTCTCTCGCTGACGTAAGGTAAGGTTTAGGAGAAACGACGGGTCACGTGGGCTCCGTTGTAAGTCAGGCGCAACCGCCGAAAACCGGACAAGCCAATGAACGAAGCGCAGCCTCCCGGTCCCCTGCACACAGCCCGTCTGCAGTTGCCACGACAGAGACACAGGCTGGAGACAGGAGGGTGGCCCGTGAATCCCTAATTAAGAGGCCTGGGTTGTCAACCTATGCAGGAACATTGCGAATCTCCACCTCCAGTCCCCGGTGTGCGACGACATCCCATCCCATCTCACTGTCGCTTGCCGTCCCTCTGTCGAACTTGCACTCGAACGAAAAGCGTCACCCGCTCCTGCCGCGACTTCTGCGTCCCCACGCTGTTCAGCCAACTACACGCCATAGCCAGCACCACTTTCGCGACCTCGCATACGGTTGAGATGATTTGTTAGCATCCACCCTACCTTCGCTGCCCATCATGGCCCAGCCTCAGCCATCACCAGCGACTCCTGGGGCCTTGGCCCAATCCCTCTTCGGTGGGCCGGCTGCTCAGGCCCTATCGACACCCAACCAGCCTTCAAACACATCCACGCAACCTTCGCCCTCTCCGATGGACCAAACTCCGGGTTCAGCAGCGTCAAGCAACAACACGTACATCATGCCCAACTCTCCCATCAAGAGTAGAGGTACCTTGGATGGCTATCGTCCAAGGGTAACAAGGACCTTAGGCCAGCGACCAGCTTGCCTTGTCAACGCCTCGGTCACCTATTGTGGCAATAATCACATCTACGCTTTCGGAGGCTTCGATCAGTACACCGACGAAGTCTACAACCATGTACTCAAGCTGGATTTGGTCAGCCACCAGTGGAGTTTGGTTGACAACTACGGCGATATTCCCGGCGTAAGAATGGGTAAGTCAACTTGATCACGGAGCGCGGCTTCCTCGAGCCTTCCCCCACTGCCATGATCTAACAAAACCCAGGTCATACTGCCACTCTATACCAAGGTGATAAACTTCTGGTCTTTGGCGGCGAAAACGAGCACCGGACCTATCTCTCCGACCTGATCATTTTTGATCTGAAAACTGCGCACTGGACACAACCCTCGGTAACTGGTCCCGTGCCCAAGGGTCGAGCAAGACACGCAGCAGTCCTACACGAGGATAAGCTGTTCATCGTGGGAGGCATAACTGGCCATGATAACTACGTTCTTGACGATATCTGCTACCTCGATCTCAAGACCTTCACTTGGTCCCGCTCCTGGCGTTTCGTAGGTCGATTCGATCACTCTGCCTACATTTATGGAGACAGAGTATGGGTCTTTGGCGGATTGTCTGAGGACATGGACAAGATTGGCGATCTCTGGTGGCTCGACCTCAAGGGTAGTCCGGCTTTTGATTCCGCACCCCACGTTGGGATATACGACCGTCAATCTGGCACCAGCCGCGCTGTTGGATCGCCAAGACAACCTTATTCTATGGCGCATCCACCACCTGCAGTCGGCTCTTCAGGGTATGCCGCCAACTCGCGGACTCAACAAGTCAACCCACCTTCTTTTCAGCTTAAGACCTTTTCACCCATGGCCCCAGGAACAATTTCGTCTCTGAAGTTCATTTCTGGACCCAACATCCCCTCACAAGGGTCCGGCATACACTTCCATGTGTACTCATCGGGCACGCTACTTGACTTTGTTACACCGGCTGCAACTATCACTTCCAAGGAGTGCTCCTTATCAGCACTGGACCTGGGAACTTTGCGATGGCAAAAGCTGGCTGAGGGCCGCGAAATCTTCAAGTCAGGCTATCGATGGCACTACTGTACCATGAACGAGGACGGAACCAAGGCATGGCTGCTTGGATGTCCTACCGACCCTGTCGCTTCGGACTTGGGCCCCAACGGGTTCGAAGAATACCTGAGGTGAGTAATTTCAACCAACTATCAAGCATGGGCGTTTCTGATTTATCACTCGCAGCGACATAATGGAGATCGATCTTCGTAGATACGGCTTCTTGGGAAACAACTTTTCTTCTGAGCCACGTATAGAATCAAGGCCGACAACGCGAGTAGTCGACCAACCCTCAAAAGGGCTCGGGGCTGACTTGGCAAAACTCTTTGATCATCCTCCCGAGAGTGGCAGTGGCACTGACTTCATCGTCACGGCCCTGGAGGGCGACTATGAAGACGATGACATAATGTCTCGTGTCACAGATGCGTCTGCAGGTCAAAATTGGCTCGCGCCTGACGCTCCTACGTCCCAACCAATCCACGTCCACAAGCTTATTCTTCAGGCTCGTTGGCCACACTTTGCTCGGTTATACAACTCCCAGATGGCGGAATTCCACACAAAGAAGATGCACATCCCCGAGCCATACTCAGTGGTCAAGGCTTTCCTTTATTACCTATACACGGACAGCATACATGGAACGTCTGTCAACGAGAGCGGTGCCACCACTGATTTGTCTGACGTGGCTGGGCTTCTCGTCATGTCGAACATTTATGGTATTCCGCATCTGAGACTTTTGTGCGTGAACCGACTCTCCAAAGAACTCGATGTTGACCATGCCTGTGTCATCTGGCACTGTGCTGGACTAGCGAACGAAGAGTGGCTCCGCAAGCGGGCTGCACAGTTCTGTCTCACACACTGGGGTCGTATCGTACGAACCCAAGGGTTCCTTCGCCTGCCACGGTCAGCGCTTGTTGAACTCTCTCAGGAAATCGACATGGAGGGCCGCGTCGTCGGCGGTGATGAACTGGAATACGTCGGCGGGTTAGCAGGTTCCCGGTTCGGAGATGGGTGTTCTGTCGTCAGCCGCAAGGAGAGTGTGAGCAGCAACCACACGCAGCTACTTGACAGCGAAGCCGACGACGAAGACGGCATGGAGATGAGCTAAATGGGTGCTTATGTCGTTCATCCAGGCACGGCTTATACACCACGTCGATTTGCTGAGGCGAAAGATGTTTAGGAAGGGACTAGCAAGATGCCCCCAATAACGTGAACATGATTACGGTGCAAACTGGCTGGCTTGCACAATTTCACCTCAACGTTCATGGCTTTTGCAAGTAACGAAGAAATGTCTTATGTGGTGGCTAATGGTTTTCGGCATGGTATGGTGTTGGTTTATAGAGCGACTTTGGCTCTGGTTTTTTGTCTTTACTCAAATCGTGCTGGAGTTGCTGTCTGGTAGTCATTGATATCCCAAACACAATCACACAAAGCTTTTTTTCCTTTCTGCTTCTTTTTTTTTGCAAATCGATCGTTCAATACATTCGTTCAGTCTATATTTTGGGAGATTGTCGATAAAGCAGGCAAGAAAATAAATGAAATGAAAATCATGAATGAACTTTTCCCAACCGATGCCCTACTGCAACGCCTACACACTATCAACCGAGCTCGAATCCCTCGCATATGACGAGGGAAGATCGTTTTGAGAAGAGGCTTGAGAGAACGAAAAATGACAAGAGACTATTCAATAGCCCTAAAGTCAAGCCAACCCTTACTCGTCTGTTTTTCTTTTCTTCCAACTCATTGCCTCCAAGCTCATACAAAGACTTTTCAAGACCATCATTTCCGCATTCGCTCTCCATCCTCCACTGGAGCTTCGTAATTCCCATCCCCGGAAATCTCGCGATCCCTGAACAGGATTGGGCCCATCCACGACGTGAGACCAGCGTCACTACGCTCCTGCCCCCAAAGCAGTGGGAATGAATGGTAAAGCAAACCTAGACAGGCAGCTAAATTCCAACAAAGAAAACTAAACAAGCAGAGAAACCAAAAGAAACCAAACATTGCCGGCCTGCTCTGATGGCATCAAAGCCGTCTAACCTCGACTGAAGCTGCCGAGGCTTGTATTAATCTAAGAAAGGAGTTGTATCGTGGTCGAAGAATCGCAAGCGTTACTGGTAAGTCTATGAGGGTATAAAATGGGGAACAGACTCGATCGACCTGACAATCGACCTGAAAACCGCCCGCAAAAGCATTCAAACGCCGCTCCGTATGCCGCAAACCAACCGCATGGCCGAGATATGTAGTCGCGATTCCGAGGCCGAGGTCGGGGTGCTGTACGATTCCCAGTGACCCCAGCGATGTCTCGGAAGTCACTTGAATTGGGTGTGGTGGAATCGTCGGACGCATTGATCCCTTACATCATCTGGTCTTCGCCGATTCCCGGCAGGTTGGTCATCGAATTCTCCATGAGACCCGGCAGGCTAGCGAGATTGTTGAGTCCTGCAGCTAAGAACTTAAAATCGGGATTGCAAGGTGCGGAATGTCCCTTGTGCTGTGTTTTCTGTCAGTTGCCGCATCTCTCGCTCCTAGCATCATATAAAAACTTACGTATTTGAGACCGTTGAGGTTCTTGTAGCGCTTTCCGCAGACGTCACATGAGAAAGGCTTCTCCTTTTCCATACCCAGAGTACCGGGATAAGGGGTGCTCGTTTCAGGGTTGACGATGGAGAAAGTGCCATCACCGTTTTCGTGTAGCTGCTGCGTTTGGTGCCCGTGTGTCTTGTGGTACCTGATTTGGACCCTGATTAATCACCTGTCATACACACCAGCCAGGATGTGGAAACTTACTTGAGACCGTTCTGGTTCTTGTACGCCTTTTCGCAGCCGATGACGGGGCATTTGAAAGGCTTGTGTTCCTCTGGAATCATCATTGCGCCAAACTTTTGGATTAGAGCCTTGTTCGCCGCGCTGTTGGGCTGGCTAGGATCGAAACCCATTCCAATGAGATGTGCCTGAATTGCCCGCTGCTGGTTGGTGAGAGCGCCTCCGGGGCTGAACAGGTGTTTGCCGGGATCGTTGATGCAGAACTCGGAGGCAGAGTTTCCGAAGCTCACATCCCCAAAGTTGGACCCGTTAAGCTCCATGTTGCCACCCATAGGCATGCCTGGCAGGTCATCGTCCATGTCGTCCATATCGTCCATGGGCTGCATTGGGGAGTTCTGGAAACCGTTGTTGGGACGCTGTTGCTGTGGCGTTTGCTGGGTGGTAAGGGTCGGAGTATTTACAGATGATACCGTGGGGTTGTGCTGCAGCCCAAAGCTGGCGGCTGCAGGCGTTGGTGGCTGGGATGTCCGCAGTCCTTGAGTGAGACCCGAGGCGTTGACGTGCAACTGAGGTCGCTGTTGCTGGCCAAACATTTGCCGAGTTTGGGACATGGTTCTCTGGCTATCGTCCATCTCCATGGTTCCCAAAGCATCGTCCATCTCCATGTCACCGACGGCGTCCATCTCGTCGAATTGCGACATTTGTGCATGCTGTTGTCCTGCCATATTTTGCTGACCAAGCTGCATCCCCAAACCTCCCATGCCTCCGCCAAGGTTGGAACCTGGACGGCTTGGTTGTCCAAGCTGTGACATTGAAGTGGTGTTTTGTTGCTGAGTCTGTGGTCTTGCGCTGCTAGCTCTGGATGAGGGTTGTGTGGGTATCGCGGCAAACTGGGAAGAAAAGGGCGCATTGCGCGCAGTGTTCGGACTGGGTTGGGTGTGAGACTCTTCATAATGCTGTAACAGATCGTGAAGGTTCGGCAAGTTCAAACCACAACAAGTGAAATCCTTCATAAAACTCGCCTCAAGCTTGGGCAAGTAGGAACCGGAGTGGAAGGATGGCGAGGCTTGGTGTGCGAATGGTGACGTGCCTGCCATGGCGATGCTAGTAGAACCAGTCAGCGATAATTCTCGCACGCACGAGCGTCACTGCGACTGATGACATGCCAATGGTCGCCACCAAAGCATGTATGTAACGCAAATGAATGTAGGAGGCCAGAAAGGAAGGCGGGAACATACTCATCGCGAATAAAGCTGCCGAATGACATTCCTCCCCAGCTCGCGCCAGCACCCATGAGGCTGCCAGCGAGACTCTCTCGTCTCTGGCGGTTGACATGGTCGCGGTTGGGGTTGGCCATAGAAATTGGCTTAGGACCAGCGCTGACAAAGGAGTCCTGGCGACTCCGACCCATGGCCGAATCCATGGCTGGGCCAGTGGTCATATCGATACTCTTGGTTGAGATGGGAGCAAAGTCGAGAAGCTCGTCGGGGAGAGCAAAGGGGTTTCTGTCGAAGCTGGACTTTGCGGGGCCTGAGGGGGAGGTGGATGAAGGGTCCCTCGTGCTTGTGGGTGTGGCGATGGTGATTGGCTTGGTGGACCAGAGGCCTGCGCGGGAATCACGAACGTCAAAGGGGTCGGTGGGTGTGAGGGGTTGCGAGGAAGGAGAGTTTGGAGTGCGGGATGACGAGTTGGAAGAACCTGGTGAAGGAGAGGCGAAGATGTTGTCGGAGGCAGAAGGTGGTGGTGGTGTTGTAGTGGTGAAAGAGGAAGCCGACGCACGATAACTAATATTATCGGCGCTGGCGCAGTCACTTCTGCTGGGCGTGCGCCTGGGTTCGCTGTTGTGGGCGGCGGCGGCGGTGGACCGGGTCGACGGGTCCCTTGGGTCCTCGGTACTTGTTGGGTTGAACCAGCGAAGGGCGCTCCTCATGTCAGCTGGAAGTAGCCGTTGTATTGGGGTTAGGCAGGGGATCCGTGGCTCCCAGAACGTTTCTCGACCCTTTTTGTGGGTACTTATTTAATCGGGCCACTGAATGCAGCCGGCGGATGCGCCCCGAAAAAGGAGATCGAGTCCGCGTCTCGACTAGCAGCGCTGCCGCTGTAATGTGTCAAGAGAAAAAAGAGGGGGGAGGGGTGCGAGGGAAAGCGTGCGTGTATGCGCTGTGTTTGTGTGCTGCACTTCTTTTTTCCCCTGTTTCTCTTGTTTTCGTCTTTGGTTTGGATTCTCTGCGAATTCTGGGGAATAGACAGAAAATATTGAGGGGAGGGCGGACTCGGTGCAAAAGATAGGTAGGTATTGGATGTCTCGAATACGATTTGCTGGGGGTATTGCGGCGGTGGCAGGTCGAAGCTTAAAAAGCGATGGCCCAAGTACCTTTTCCCGGAAAGTACCTTGGGCAGTGAAAGGTTGGGAGGTACCTGACGGAACAGTTCGTGGTGGCCGTGGTTTTGGTGTACCGCCTAGGGAGGCGAATAAAGGTGGGCTGGGGACCGACCGAGGATGGTGGATGGGTAGGTATTCCGGCGACGGCGACGGCGCGTGGTATTGGTAATGACCTCTAGAGGCGCGTTCAAATGTCGGAGGCGAAAATCGAGTGCGCAAGTCTTCCGCGTCTTAGTGGTTTCTATTGTCCAAAGATCGGAAACGAGCTAGCTCCGGAAGACTGTGGAAGTAGTGGTGACGGCTGGATGATGCTATCTCCGAAAAGGTTGTGACCGGTCTATGCCCGCGGTGTCGTAACAGCGACGCTGGGTGAGGCTTTGAGCTGAGGATGGAGATGAGTGTTGATCATCGAAGAAGAAAGTCGACTTTCGAGACGAATCAACGCCTATTGTACTTTTTGAACGGTTGCTTGGGTGTTGTCGATGCTGTTTATTATGATTATAAGAAATCGTCTTATAGTCTCGACAAGGGGTTGCTGGAGTGGGTATTGGTATCGATTGCTGTGTAATGTACTTCCGTCGACAACACCAGACTGTAAATGGACGAGGCCTTTGGGGGCTCGAGATAAAGAGGAAGCAAAGGTAAGGCAGTATAAGTGTATGATAGATTTGGGGGAGCAGATCTGGGACGAAGTCAAGAGTAGAAGCACAACAGATGTCGGGGACGAAAGCCAGGAAGGGGACGGGGTTATGAATAAGAAGGCAAGCGGTATGATGGAGGAGATGGGCATGCGTTGACTCGACACAAGAACAAATCCGGGCTGTCCTGGCGTGAGAGTCAAGGTACTTGACCTGGTCAGTCCAGGCTCTAGGTTGATCGGTCCAAGGGCACCTTGGGAAGTAGGTTGGGACTTGGGGAGAAGGAGGAGAAGAAGAGGAGGGTATCTGTAGGATAAGGCAGAGCACGGAACTTGGAAGGCGCTTGGAAAGCGGTCCCTCGACGAAAGCTCGGCCGATGTTTGGGGGTGGGAAGTGTGGGAAGGTTTTGGGGGTGTCATTGACGACGGGGGTTCCAGTCCATGTTAGTAGCACCTTACTGTCCGTCTGTCTGTCTTTCTGTCCCATGAAGGGTTGTCCATCTACATACATAGTTACAACTGCCCGAACGTAAAGTACGGTCTCTACCTTACGCAGTAGGTGAAGCAAGCTGGAGTTATGCAGGAGATGGCGAGAAAGGCAAAGCAGGAAAGCGAGAGGGGACCCAATCGTCTTGTCTCGGACTGACAGGCACACCGATGTTGAGCTACACCTTAGACTTTCAGCACTCCTAGATCCAGATGGGGAGTTTGCTGCAATAACACACACACACACACACACACCACCAATAAGCTGGTAACCTGCTTGCCTGCCTGCGTACTTTCCCATTGGAACCGTAGATATTGGGTCTGAGCCCAACCTCAGGCGCGGGCGAGGCAGAGAAGAACGGGGGAACACGGGCGAATGGCACCACACAGACACACACCCTAACGGCCGATGACTGTTAGTGTGACTCCTCGACGACAAACGGTGCTCTCTACAACAACCAAATCAAAAGGCAAAATAAGCCCCAAGTGTCTGATCTGGTCCGATGTACCGGTCATTGATGTTTTCCGGGGTAGAGTAAGACAGACAATTGCACCGTTTGTTAGGGGGTTTGTGTGGGATGGCCTTGGCCTCGATATTGATATTCGGGGGTACCTTACTGTGTGAGGCAGGACCTGATATTTTGGAGAGACGGCAAGTACAAGATACTTTGTACCTGCCTCCAAAGGTAGCGTTCCTCAGTTCAACGTACGGTACCTAACTCGGCTTACGACACTCTTCCTTCCCGTCATTGATGATTCTAGGTAAGTTCCCAAGTACTCCGTACCTCATCTTCCATTGCAGACTTCCAACGAGCTGATACCTACCTTAAGGTAAAGGTATGAGCAGGTAGGTACGCATCTCAGTGCGGTACACGCTCCGCATGAACGACGGAGGCGGCGACGACAGGAAGGAGGCAGGAGATGACACTGGGCAGGCAAGTGCGTCCTGGGTCAGACGATCTTCTCGACGAATGACAGGGTCGGAAAAGGTAAGGTAGAGGCAAGGCAACGGTCATGGTAAGGGACTTTTCTCGAGGCAGGCGTGGCACGATCCACCGAGGAAGGAACAACAGACGAGGAAAAAGCAACAAGTCGACCAGCTGGCGCCCCCCAGGGGACCTGTGATCCCACTCTTTCACGACTCCATTCTTACTTTCGAGTCTCGAAGGAGGGCAAGGGAGGCACCGAGGTCGAAAAAGAAGCAATAATGAACAGGTGAAGGCGAGGGCTTGCCTGCATGCCTGCGTGCCTGCCTGTAGCCTTGTACCGATTTTTAGCGCTTGTCTCGAGGCGGATACCTTACCACACGGCAAGGTACGTAATGGCGGATATCCCCTTCTCTCATCTGCGAATATTCGTACGAAGTGCTCCGTAAAGCCTGGAATAACATAACACACCTCGTTTATGGCTTCGATTCTTTCCCCGCCGCCCGACCTCCTGGCATCAGCCGCAGTCAACATTGTCATCGATCAATCAAAAATCAACAGACGAGTTTCGCTACATGGCTCTGTACCGCCCATTCTTGGACGCGTTTCTGCCATGCTGAATACCTTCTCGCCAAAGCCGCACACACCCATTACACTGCATCGAACCGTTCCTAGATCAGCTTGTCGCCACACGGCCAGCGGCGTCCGTCGACATTTGCCGGCACCATCCCGACCGGCCCCCAATTATGGCCCATTGGTCCCTTGGCCTCCCCTTTCGACACTACCTCCCAGGCCAAGTCTTGTCTACGTCTGTCACAGGCTGTCCTAGCGCAATGACTTACATGATCCATGATCAAACGCTTCTTATCCACCGTCTATTTTCCGCTGTTCCCACCCACGATAGCCCATCTTAACTCCCCAAGAAAGGAAGAGAAAAGGCACATACAGCAGAGTCCACGGGGGTAAATATGAATCCCGTGTCAGAGACGAAGGCCTCAAGCACAGGGGACGGAGCAGGATCCAAACCGTTACGTGATCGACCCAGTCTCTTGGGGACGCTCTGGGAATCGAACAAGGTCATGGTCACTGTGTTAAATGGAGCCTTCAAGCCTGTCTGCCCACCATATCCACGCCAGGCCACATGAAATGCCTACATTCGACGGATACGTACTTGGATCGATGGAACTATTTCATCACCTCTCATCTCCTATACCGACAAGTCACGCACGGGCACGATTCAGGTCGCCAAACATGGAGCGGCGAGCCTGTGTGCCTGTCTACTTCGAGTAACCCGGAGCGCTGGGTCGGAGTTCCTGCGAGACAACGAAAGGCTGGTCAAGCTGGCTGTTGGTGCGAATACACTCTACAAATCGAATACAGAACAGGCACCATTGGCTCCAGCTGAGAGAGGCTGGTTGGTGGGTGAGCTGCGCCGGCCCTGCGCCTGATCGTCAACCTGCCTTGCCGACAAGGACGTCACCAGCCGCAGGCCAATCGCAGGTGTCAGTTAGTCGACCATCGACGATGTCCCCAGGCAACGTACGGAGTACATACAGTACCTACTGAGACATATTGGAGGCTGCTACTCCAACTTGTCCCCTAGGCCTTGTCCGCAGATGCGAGCCGCGAGCGCTGTACCAAAAGACCCAATATTGATTTTCGTGGCAGAAGCACCGGCTGGCAATAACGTCAAATCAGAAAATCAACGTCAGCGAGCCACGAATTGCCCAGAATTATTCTGTAGCGGTGGATCCTACGGTACCGACGGATGGAGATGCCACGAGATGACTGGACAAGGCTGCCGCACACCCGCCTCTAAGCTGCCATGCTTGACTCATAGCCAGACATTTAGTGTCGGGGACAGGCCTGCTTGGCCACCCCATGCTCCATGTCAGAGTCTCCTGCACACATCGGCCACTACCCGTCCTCGGTGATTGACCGTCTTCAACAACAAAGACAATATAGAAAATTGTTACTGAAAGTAAAGTGCCTTGGCTGAGAGGACGAGGAAGCAAAGAGTTTGCTACGCAGAGTGCTGCAGGGCTTTCCGAAGCGGCCGAGTCAAAAGCATATCCCAGCTTTCAGACATAGGGAAGGTAGGAGGCTACGGAGGGGGTTCCGAATTCATGGTGTACCAACTACCACCACCACCTCCGCAGTCAACCCCTCCGACAACTAAATTCAAGATTCGATTCCTTCTGACACTGCACACGGCTGGGTAGCGATGGAGGGAGAGGAGACGCGCTTCAGACGATGCCTGCACCCTACTTCACTTTCTACACATATGACGACGGTCAAGCACTCAGGGAACTCAAAGCGAGCTCAAGGTGACATCCATGGAAATTCCTAAGAAGTCTGTGGGAACGTCGGAAAAGAAAGTGGCAGAAACAGGGTCTCTCTCTCAGCTCTGCGACCTCTGGGCCTGCAGCAAGGAAGGCGGTCTGGTCTTACAATACTTGCATGTCTGCTTTCGGGGTCCTGGGCTGGGTGCCTTACCCACGACGTTTACCTCATGGTGGAGGCAATGGCACGCTGGCACGGCTGGGAATGGGAACACGGTGCAGCGAATACATGCAGAAGCGGAACAGAAGCAACACTCCACCGCCGACGCCGGTCCACTCCGGACCCGACGAATGACAGTTTGGACAATGGCACCCCCAAGGCCAAAGATGCAGCCAAGTCCAGAGTCGGGACGCCAGGTCTGTGCCTCGCTACGATATCCTTGCTAGCCGCAACAACTAAAACGAGCCTAACGTTCGCCGTGCACACCCTGCTGCCTTTTCCTAGAATTCGCTCCCGCTCCGGATGAATTCACCGTCGCATGGGTGGGCTGCGCAAGGCACTTGACACTTTGCTACTCAGGGACATGGCTCCTAGCGTTGGCTGGCTGGCAGAAGTAGAGTCTGGCAAACCCCAAAGCCGCCTACGAACACCGCTCCTTAGCGCCGCATGCCTGGATCCCAATTTCGCCGACATTTCTGACCTGTCTCAGAGGGGAGGACCGTTTGTAACGAGCAACCTATCGTCACTACGGATACCTCGCTCTTGGGAGGAAAGGCGGTGTGGGACGTTTCTCACGGACACTTTACCTACCACGGCAGACGACCGCCCACGATCTACAGCAATTCCGTACAGATACGCATACTCCCTGGCTCATCAAGCACAGAACAAGGGCGCGTTTGAGAAGACCGAGGCTTCTCATTTCGCCTACAGACTGATGAGCGAGTTGCAGGAAGAGGAAGCCACAGACAACTAAGAGATCGACTTTAGTACGCAGCCGCGGGTAGCGAGAAACAGCAAACGCAGATACCGAGTGATATCTCAAGTTTCCAACGCCAAAGTACCACTGCAAACGGCGCCCCGAAATGCTTGACGCATCATTTCCTCGCCCCAAAAGCTTTGGGACAACCTTTCCCCCTTGCTGGGGCTCGCCGCAACCTTCATCTCAGTTGGATACAGCTTGAATTGGCAAAGCGTTATACCAACCTTTCTACCATGCTTTCCTCCCATGATTCGACGGGCAACGTGGTCCAGGGCAGTGGACCAAAAAAGCCGTAGATCTCCAGGGGATTGACTCGCTTGTCATCTCTCCCACCAGATGAGGTGCACATGGGCCTCGAAGCGTGCCCGCAAGCTATCGGATCTCTGTGCGATCTTGAGTTTACACCTCGATCTCGAACCCCTCCACTTCACTCCTACCTAGGCTGCATCCTCGATGGTATGACCCGCCGTCGACCTACGTACTGCATGTGATGGCCGTGGCCAGAAGCATCATGTTGTACGATTTTCCTTGCCGATCGTGCTCATCAAAACCGGCTTGCCACAATCGTCTCCCCGCCGACCCGGCCAATTGTTGAAGGAGCAATCCAAGATCCTGCGTACGCTTGGCCGACGAACCACTAACACTGATACCACCACCCACACTTCACCCCGCAGGCACGGAGTCCCGAACACTCCTCATGTTACACGACCCGGCCGAGATCGCGGAGACAGTTACAGTAACGTCAGCGTTTGTCCACCGTTCGGCCGTCCACCCAGATGGCAATATGTTAATGCCAGGAATCGTAGCGGGGTAACGCCTGAAATGCCGCAATCTCGATACTGCATGGTCGGCTGTCCATCACTCTTCACTGGCCCACCTGTGGATACACATGGTTCTGCACACGAGCCGATATTTCTCCCCTCGGGTAGGAGATTATTACAGGTTCCGTGCCTTATTGCTATTGAGCCTTGTGGCTACTAAACTCCCTGGCTGCATGTCCGCAGTCCCTCCGTCATCACACACCACAAATGTTATTTGGGAAGCCCTAGACTCTACCGTAACACTGCAAAACGCATCAGCGGAATTGACCTCAAGGAAAGGCAAGAGCTCCTCAATGGCGAAGGACCTTGGATCACGGGCATGACCTCACAGGAGCTACTCGCAGGGCCTGCTTTCGAATGCCCGAGAAGGCGTCTGGTTTCAACAGGCATTACCAACCATTCTGGGTTCTTCTCGATAAACGGGTACACAGAGAAGGAGAGATGCCTTACTTAGCAACTTCGGGGCCTATACGCACTACTTAGCGCTAAAGCCGAATTATTCTGGATAGGTACGTAATGTCTTCAACGCCGTGTTCGCTCCAAGCGAATGACTCGGCGCCAACCGATCTGAGAGCTTCGGACCGGACTCGCCCAGGATGAAGCCTTGACGCGGTCGGTATTAGGTAGAGAGGACATTGCTGAAGTAGGCCCAGTAACACAAGGGGTTGTACTCAAACAGCCTCTGCACAACGACAGTCCATGATGCATGCATGAGGCATGATTCAGACTAAAGGAGGTCTAGAGCCGAGAGCCAGCAGTTCGGACGACTGTACGAATGAAGCAACGCTGTGGACGACGGACGACATTGGGAATGCAATTGTTAAAGGGGCGCACGAAACGAATACACCAACAAAGACGTCCTTACACAAGGAAGAAGCAGCCTCTTGAAGCTTAGTGACGATTTAGACTCGGATCAGTTGCCGTGGCTTCAAGCCTTCGAGATCTGTACCCCCCAAAAGCTAGAAGTCGCTCGGTGACTCGGGCTCTGTCGGGGGCTGAGGGCAAACGTGGCAGGCGGGAGCGCACAGAGGACCCTGACCCTAGCAAGGATCGTGGAAGGTTTCTAGAAGACGGTTCGGGCTGAAGAATGAGGCGCACGGGAATCGCCCCCGTCCCTTTCATCAAGACCTCGTGAGGACGGGCCTTCACTAATTTACTGCGTAGGGGACCTAGACCTGGTCTGTGATTTCCTTTGCCATGCTAACACACGAATTCGTAGACTGTGTATTGCAACGGGGTAATCCATCATCCAACCAGCGGTGAGAATTACGGGGCGCATCTGTATTCTGTATGCAACGCATAATAGCGAGGACCCTGAATCGGGGCGGAAGCTCTGTTGCATGTGGATATTGGTGGACTGCATGACTTGGACCCTGAGTATCTCTCGAAGCTTTGAAACAGAGGAGCACCCGAAACTTGACGAGAGTTAGGCTACGGAAATTTGGCCTCCTATATTCTCGCGCCAATGCACCAACAGCACCGCTGCTGCCACGCTAGAAAGGATTTGGGTTTTGCCGGTTTGACGCAGCCATGAGATGAGTTTCTGCTCACCGCCTCTGGATGCTCGCCCACACACCGCCAAGATGTGTTGTTTGACACTTCCTGCGCTGAACATTCACTTCAGGCCGGTCTTGCGAATCTGCGAAGCTTGCTCAGAAACATCACGCGCTCTCCCAGGCATCTCCAAGCGCCGTGCTTTGCGGGGAAGACACCTAACACGACGCGGGAACGGACTGACAAACACATATATGCGATTCCTTTTGCTACCTAGCACCAGTTTGAAGCAAGAGGTAATGCATGGCCTTTTTAGCCAGCTGACACTTCGCTGGGCTTTTCTAGTTGTTGCGAAGCGCCATTCAACATGGCCGGACCCTGAGCCTCCACTTGCGAGATGAGAACAACTCATAGCCATTGCAGGGCGGTCAAGGGCTGGGAATAAACAACATCCACGACAACATATTTCTAGGGCGACCTCGGACTAACCCTTCATGCGCACTCTGGTGTTGCAATTACAAAATCCTCTTTGCCACGTCTGCGCCTGGCTAGCGCACAAATCAAAGAAAGGAAAATGGTAAAGATGAGTGGGAGTGGTGCCAGAAATGCAGATTACCAACATCAGGCCACTCCCATCCTTACAGAGAGCATCTGGCGATGATTCGTACCTTGCTTATTCGTGTCCAACGGGATGTGCGTACGCGGATATTATGGGGCACCGGGCTGAGGGTTCGGGCACGGCCGGTGAGAGAAAGGGGCCGTTTTACGGTGATACTCTGTAGTCACAGGAGGTCGCCCTCGGCAGGTCGGGTTCGATGGACTTGAAAGGCAGCATTTCTTACCGGGCGCTCAGGCCCAACCAACGCGGAGGGAGAGTTGACCCAACCCGAGGGCGGCGTTCCCGTCATCAAGAAAGCTGTGGACATAAGTCGGCGATCTCCAGGTCCGCAGCTGAATGATCCCCGATACGCGAGTATTTTCAATGCAGCATGTCTGCTTGAAGCCTCGGGGGGGACAAGGCGTTCGGCGTTTGAAATCCCATAATTTACTGGAGCCTTGAGCAAACGGCGAAAATAGGGAACTCTCTGCCAAAGTGGTCAGACTGACGACCGATGGGAATGTGCGGCGCCTCGTCCGGTTTTTGTGCCTCTGAGGGAGGTGACAGCCAATCAGAAGAGACTAAAGTGTTCTCTCTGGGCTTACTCAGCAACTGCGGAAATTTCTCGGTGTTTGCAGAGGTGAGTGATTCCGCGGAGGGCTCTAGACTGAGAGAGCCCGGCCGCTGAACAGCCGCTTTGCGGTGCCGCGAGACGTTGCTGAGAGCAGGGCCAGCACTTGCGGGACGGCAAAGACCGGGCAACAAGGGTCCATTACATCATGCCGTAGCGACGACCTCATGGCACGATTCTGGGTCCCATGAGAGCTTTTTTCGCCCACGCGGCGTCCCGTCCACCAGGTTTTCAATCGCCGTCTGCATCTGTCATCAACTTTGACAATTCCTTTCATTGGATATAAGGCCATTGACACTCGTCTTCAGCCTCACGGTTTTATTTTCAGCTGCACAGAAATATCCATCGAGACTTTTAAGAGAACAGTCAGTCCACTGAGACCATTGCCCTTAGCGAAAACGAGCAAAGGTAGCTTCGAATCCCGATCCGTCATCCATCCGTCACCAACCACCACCTAATTACGACATTACTATCCCCACGACCACCGCCGGCCCAGATCCCGACAACACCAAAACCTACGAGGCTGCGCACCTAGACGTCACTCTTTGCAGCTTCAACTCTTTCTCCCCTCATTCAGGAATAAACACCTATTCCCCCTCTACGATCCGAAAGATCCACACCACTTTACACATCACAACCACCCCGCACAAACCGCAATCATGAAGGTCCTCAGCAAAGAAGAGGAGGCCGAGCACTACAGCGTCGTCGTCAAGGCCGGCCTCATCGGCGGCACGGCCGGTCTGGCCGTCGGTCTCGGCGGCGTCCTCTTCGCAAGCAAGCGCTACCCGTCCTTCCGCCAGCTCACTCTGCCGTTCCGCTCCTTCCTCGTCACCTCGTCCGCGACCTTTGGCGCCATCGTCCACGCCGACCGCGAGTCCATCCGCTACGGCAAGGAAAAGGACCCCATGTACGGCTACCAGGACGCGACGGCGCGCGCCATCGCCGAGGCGAAAGCCAACGAGACGGAGATGCAGAAGCTCAAGGAGTGGGGCCGCGAGAACCGATACTCCATCGTCTTTGCGTCGTGGCTCGCGTCCATGGGTGTCGCGCTCGCGATCGTCGGCAAGGATAAGTATCTCACAGGCGCTCAGAAGCTCGTCCAGGCGCGTGTCTACGCGCAGGCTCTCGCCGTCGTCATGCTTGTCGTGACGGCCGCCTTTGAGATGCAGGACGCCAAGACGGGCGCCGGCCGCTGGGAGACGGTAATGATTATCGACCCCGAAGACCCGGAGCACAAGCACCTTATTGAGAAGAAGATTCACAAGGAGGAGTATGAGGGTCAGGACTTGTGGAAGGGTACGTTTTTTCATCATCCGTCTGAACCTATCTCCCTCGGGCGGGTGATCAGCTGATCCCCACTCTTGCTGTCGGAGCTCTTTACTGACATTCTTTCAAACAGATATGGTTGCTGCCGAGGAGCGCCGTATTGCTGCCCGCAAGGCTTCCGAGCAGAAGTAAACGTTTCTCAAAATGAGCCACACGACCTACCGTCCAATCATACATCCACCAATTCTATGAACCCACACAGGGTTCTCTGTACGACTTATTTCCTATGTCTTTTGCGGAGCAAAGTTCCTCACGGAGTAGAGAGATGATCAGCTTGGCGGATGATTTTTATCTTGCATTGCCGGCGTTGTTTTCATATACGGAGAAAGGTGTCAATGGCCGGGCCACGGCCTGGTCGTTCAACACCCATCGATGATTGTTCAAAATGTCTCTATGAGAGAGCGGCATTGAAAAGCAAGAAACTAGATGTTTGATATATCAATCTGGCGGTTTAGCAAGGCTTTGCCAAATACAATTTCTATTTAATTCACTTGCTGGTTATAGCAGCCAAAGCAGTTCCGATGCGAGTGATTCCAGAGAGACAAACGATGTTTCTTCTCTGTCCACGTAAAATCAGACCACTCAGGTGGTGTGATACAACCACACATCAGATCCATATATGCCTGTTACTTCCCCAAGCAATCCTCAATCCGAAACCACCATTTTATATTTTTTATTTTACTTATTTTTTTCTATTTTTGATGCCCGTTATCGGTTTCGCTGCCATCCAACAGCAGAATCGCAGGGGAACGGAAACACTAGCTACCCAGGACACGCTAGGCTACGGTATCCGTACAGCGGAACATCGAGACCAGATGGAGAAGGGGGGGGGCCAAGCTCCCGTGATCCTTGGCGGAGCGCAACCCACCCCTCCTTTTCCTCCCCTCTACCTCCTCCTCAACTCCGTCCTGGGACCTCCGACGGTAACTTTTTTTCTTCCTTACGCTACCTTACTCCAAGTATACCTCAAATACCTACTCCAACTCAGTCTACGTACTGGCCACGACTCCAAATGATCATCATCAAAAAAAAGACCGACTCCTTGCTGGACATGACGTACCTCTCCGCATCAAACCCTGCCCCCCCTACTCGCGCAGCAAGCGGTACGGGCCAGGCCAGACACCGAGAGAGTCGCGAGTCAGTCCAAAAAGAAAAAAAGAAAAAGTACGAGTTGCGTTTGTCGATCCGGCATCCCAACGATTGGGTGAAGTACGGATACATGGGCAACCACCACCCGATGTGACATACCCAAGTAGTTTTGAGAGAGAGATCTCACAATTACGGATTCGTCACGTCACATCACACAATGATAGATAAGCGAAGAGGACAAGAGAGCAGATCCCAACACTCTGTGCCTCCGTCCCTCTGATGTGAAAGGGCTGAGTATGTTCAACAGATATATAGGATAGGTAAATAAAATAAAATAAAGGACAACGCATGCCTGCCCACCCACCTATCCATTCGCCCACCTGGGATTTTAATAAAGCCGTTCCGTCATCAAGCATAGGTAGATAACTGTAGATAAGAAGCATTGCTGCTTTGGAAAACGACACGCAAAATTTGGGGATGAGGAGAACCAGATTAAACCAGATTACGGTATATGACACAAAGACCTTTTTGAAAGCAAGAACAACGGCAGACTCCCAGGCCCTTGAATCTCAGACCTCAATAGTGAAGTGGCTAATCTGGGAATAATACGCGTGCACAGCCAGTTCCAACATCCAGACATCGCTAAACACTTCGCTGCCGTCAAATCCACCAATAATGAACAGACGGCTGTCGTAAAGCACGGTGCCGTGGTATCCACGGCCGCTAGGTGGTAAGCCGTAGACACGCCGACGATCCCACGTCATGGTAACGAGGTTAAGTAGGAGGACATCGTTGGAGTATTCGTTGCCATCATGTCCACCGACAATAAATAGATAGGAGCCAACGAGGGTGGCCGTATGTGATAGGCGACGGTAGGTCTGCGGGATGGACACGGCTTTCCAGATGTGGGCGTCGACATCGTAGACCCACACGTCGTTGAAGCACTCGCCGCCATCGGATCCGCCAAAGATGATCAGCTTGCTTCCCACCATGTTGGCGGTGTGGTAGCCGCGGGGCTTCGGACGAGTCTCCCGAACGCCCGGGGGCGGGGCCCGCTCGGGCCCGGAGACAAGCTTCCATGACATCTTGTTCATGTCGCTAACGTCGAGGCGCCAGACATCGTTGAGGGCGCGAACCCCATCACCGCCTCCAAAGATGTAGATGCCATTCTTGTAGAGGCAGGCTGTATGCGCGCGACGCTTGGAAGGGACACGGTCGCCTATAATCTTTGGCCGGTGCCACCTGAAATTTGTCGTGTCTAGAACGTATATATCATTGTAGTAGGCGGGCCCATCGCCACCGCCAAAAATCACCAGCTTTTTGCCGACAGCTGTGCAGGTCATTGCGCGCAGTGGCACAGGGATCTCGCCGGTAACGTGCGGTACGGACCAGTAGAAGGCATCTGCATCAAAGACGTAGAGCTCGTTGAAACAGGCGCGGGAGTCGCAGCCTCCAAACACAAATATGTTGGATCCGACAAGCGTGGTCGTGTGAGCGCGAAGTGACGTATGAGGAGCCCCTGAGACGGGCGCTCGCGACCAGTACATGCCTGATGATGGAGCCGGAGGAACATCTGGCGCAGTCTTTGGATCCTGAAGGGGCGGAAAGGGGGTATGTTGACCTTTGGGGGCGGATCTCGAGGAGATTGTCGTCGAAAGCTGGCGTGTTGAGGATGACGAGAGAGGGAGTGAAGAAGGCTTTGCGGCTATGGCAGATGTGGAGCGCATGGCGATAGGGCGGCGGCCGTCACGGTCGGAGCCATGGCCACCGGTAGACTCGGAGCCATCGTTGCTGTTCAGCGTCGTGGCATCGCTGGCAGTATTGCTCGGCCGGAAGGACGGCGGAGGAGGCCTAGGGGTATTCGCGCTCGTGGGTGTTGTACGAGACTGTTGTGAGGCCTGGGCCTGGGACGCCGACTGGGAGCGCTGGCGGATGGAGAGTTCGGAAGGTTTGCGGCGACGGTCTTGACTCTTGGAGGCAAGATGGCCGGGCGTATGGGAACGCGGGATTATGGGACCTCCCGGAGCGGAGGGGACACGGCGGTGCTGCTCGATGTCGCGGTCACTGAAGTCCTCGAGATCGTCGGGCACGCCCGGTGGTGGGGGCCGGGAATCGTTGGGCGGAGAGATCTTCTGAGAGCGTACAACCTTGGACTTGAGGGGCGACCGGGGGTTCTTGTCCGAGGACCTGGCCGAATCAGCCATGGTTCGGCGGGGGAATGGTCATTGCCCCCCTCTCGCGAGGATGTGGATGATTGCCCCGGGGGTCGGTCTTTGGGACAAGGCGAATGCGGTTCGAGGGAGGGAGATGGTGTGGAAAGAGAGGGCAGAAAGAAGGTGGTATATCGGGCCAATTGGCGAGGCAAGGTCGTCGGGAGAGCCGTGACTCGGGAACAGGCTGGCGGACGTGCGTCGGGGGGGCTTCGGGGCTTGAGTCGAGGGACAGATTTGTTTACTTGGGTTGTCGAGGGTTGTGTTGCAGTTGCTGTGTCGTTGGATGACTCGGGGTTTGTGTGGTTTATTGTGAGGTATGGTACGTGTAGTTTGGTTGCAGAACGCCAGGTAGCCGTAGGAAGGTAGAGGAAAGAATTGGAGCCCAGCCGCAGAAAAGAGATCCACTTTCGTCTTGTTAGGTTTGCAAGGTCGGGTCCCAAGTAAGGCTCTAGTGCCGTAGTAGGCGCTGGTAGTGGTATCCGTGTTGTAGAAAGTAGGTAGGGTAGGTACAGTTGCTGGCGCTGGCCCTGACAAGAAGACAGAGGGGAGGGCGGGCGGACGTGGGCTGGCACTGGCAGAGGGAAGGTGCGTCGCACGACCTCGGTGACGGGGCCTTGTTAGTGCGGTCACTGCCAGGCCTCGGGTAGGTTAACAATAAGGTACAGACAGGCAGGTGTGCCCCCCCATGTCATCTACGGGAAACTAGGTGTGCTTTAAGCCTTGAGATGAGGTAATGAAAGGTACTTTGCTGGAGCAGCATCCATCGGCTCCGTCCCTTCCCTGGGCTGAGATTGGCGGGATCCGAAGGCTAGAAGGCCTAGAAGGGCTGGAAGGGCTAGCCTCTGGTCCCTGAGCAATTCCGCCCACGTATCACAACTCTCGTTAAGGCATCCCCCTCGCTAAAGCCAAGCACAGACCACTGTCGGCCCCTGCATTGGCCTGCTGTGCTCCTCGAGCCTGTCCGCTACCTGCCGCTGTCCTGCTGTCACGGTGGCACTCGGGGGCATGGTAAGGCAGTCCGCCCAGGGTGGGTGTGATTGGTCGCGTGAGGTCACAGGTGATCCTCTGCAGCTGGCATCTGCCAATTACTTCACACGTATTGTAGATGCTCAGTGGCATGCCCCATCATGTGTGAGATTCCAAGTCCTCGTACGGATACAGCGTCTTTTCGAGACAGTGTCTCTCCTTGGATTCGATCTCAGATCAGCTCTAGGCTTGTCTCTGCGCATAGAAAACAACAGCATGCAACCATAAGGGGGACCAACATCTCACATAGTCACACCCCGCGATCAGGGTCTTGAATATCTTCCCTGTAGGGATACAACGTGGCATCAAAGTAGTGTACGAACACCGGGCGACCGATATGTCTCCGGAGAAGCGCAATTATGGACATTTTCGGTGAAAACGAACTCAAATAGAGAAATCACCAGGTCAAGGTGACCATTTTCCGTACTCAAGGAAATATCATCATCCGCTGGGTACGTTTCACTAGTAAAAGGTCCGGTTGCCCGAGGTTATAAGTGCTATATATATCTCTATTCCAGTCCTGCCCAGCAAATCGTTGAGGGGACTATCCCAACTTCCTAACATGTCTCGCGGAAATAACAACCCGATCCCACTTATGACACTGTTGTTGAGCACCATCTAGTAGCTAACGAACTCATCACAGACGGCGGGGAGCGTTTACCCATTATGATAATTGGTCCATTCAAAGTTGGCTGGGTGAACCTACTCAAGAATGCACAAATTAACAATCATAGCCCAAGGCCATTCGGTCTGAAAGAACCGAGTAAGGGACAAACGTAACGAAGGGGTCTCTCTTATCTCTGAGGCCACAGGATTTCCAGCTGCACCTTCTCATTTACTGCCGGCCGGGACTTGAACTCAGAGTCGGACTAAGAGCGAAAGTGAGACCTGATTATTCCATCTTCTCTCTTAGCCCAGCGAAAGCTCTGACATGTCTCGGTATTCACCAGGCTCCTTTCCCAATCCAGCTCTCGATATTTCGACTTCACAGCATGACCGAGCTAGCACCTAATTCCTCGTGTCGACGAGGAGAAGTTCTGCCCAGTCATTGCCCGCTGCTATCACCCCGTCGCTCGGGCTTTGAAGTGATAACAATTCGGGATTCCTATCGGTATATGGCCATCTTTTGCCGAAATGGCATGCTTTGTGTGAGTAAGTGAACCTTCCCTTTAACCGACAGCAGCATTTCAAGACTCCGGGGGGAGGTTGGCAGGCAAGCTACAGTGAGACTCCGCAACCAACTCCTTTGGCCGGCGGCGCGGGGCCGCGTCCATTATCCACAACGTCATCTCATAGTTGACGGGTTACACAAGAAACCTTAATCGTTTTCGAAGCCTTTCCCAATCGAAACGGGCAGGCAAGTCGTGCCGCTCTCTTGGGTGTGAGCTTTGAGACTCCCACCGGGAGTCCGGGGGAACTAAGCAGAAAGTAAGATAAGAAGCGACTCTGCCTTACTGAGATTACAGTGACGCAATTCCCATCTGGGGGTCAATCAAGGAAGTTGCAACATTGTGTGTTTTTGGCGATTCAAGAGAAGGGGTGTGAGTAGGTATGCTTGCGTGATCAATTTACCAACCGTCCAGAGACCGTCGCGACTCTTCGTACGAAAACGGTGAGCCTACGAGGTCAGAAGACCCGAGAAGAGTTGTGTTGCCAGCCGCTCGGATAGGACCCCTTGCCAACCAAGACAGTCCATTCCCGGGGTGCTGGGAACATCGGTTTTCTGGGATAGGCTTGAAGCAGAAAGCGATGAGGAGGTTATGAGGGGGTTAAGCGGAGTTTGGAGTCAGTCCACCAAGGGAAAGTTGGAAATTTGGAGTTCCATTCCCGGTAGCTTTTGAGCTGCAATCCATATCCGTAGTGTTGTCCGATGCACGATACACGATTCAAGTCCCGGATCTTTTTCCTGCCTGCTACCCTGCCAAGGCCGGGGGGTGAGAACTTGAGAAAGAGAGAAAGAGGAAGTTCTGGCCTCCGGCCCATACACGTGTGCGAAGCGACCTGCGTGTTGACGAGGAGGAAATCCCCACGATATCCCAGCCCCCGAATCTGTTTAATGGGCATTTTGGAGCCCCTCCCCGATGTGATATCTGATTTGCGTCATTACCTCGCCAGCTCTGACGAGTATGACGAATCGAACAACAGGAAACCGGGGGTTATGTTGCAGTTCCGACGAACGATTCGGATCTCTTCCTGGAAGATTAACTCCTAATCTCCTTTTCACGACTCAAGATTCACAGTCGCATCGAGCTATTCTTGCAGAGGCGTCCCACCGATTTTCCTGTCTCACATACGAGCGAACGGACAATCGCAAGTTCAAGGAGATCTAGTTGGGCAAGAGGAATCTGTACCCGAGCAGACAGCCAAGACCAAGATGTACCGAGTACATGGACGTCTCGCAATGCCGGATGTACCGTCTACTTCTGAGGCTACAAACGAGGCCCCCAAACATGCCCAGGGGGTCTCCCCCCAGCAGAACATCTTCTCAAGAGTCGATGAACTACAAAAGGATCGATCAACGTCATCTTTACCCACACCCTCCTCGAAACATTGGCACTACAGTACCATGCTAGGTGGGCGACACCATCGTTTGCCGCTCTATAGGTACCCTCTCTAGCGCTTATCCTATTACTCCTATTATTCCTATTCCTACTGTCCCTATTTCTATTCCTACTATCTTTGTTTTTATTCCTATTATCTTTATTCCTATTCTTATTATCTCTATTCCTGTTCTTTTCTCAAAGAGTGTTCTTCAATGAATATACGAGATAGAGGTAATGGTAGAGATAATAAAAAGAAAAAGGATAAGAATATTAGGAATAACAACTAGGTAAGTAGAAATTGTAATCTTTTGTTGGCCAGCATCCTATTTTGTCACCCACTTGTATGCCCACCATCCCACTCCCGGTTCTCCGGGGGTCCAATGCCGGTGAATAGCGTGGTGACGGATCACGGTAATGGGTGGCGGTGGTGTCTGTGGTTGGCGAGGAGGGAGTGGTCACTGGTCAGATTGAGATCCCCAACACCAGGGTAATGTCTGCCCGTGGACCTGGGTGCCTGCCATTCAGTCGAGCTACTCGTTAGACCAGCGCGGCAGGCAAGAAAGACGGACTAGTCTATGGAACTAAATGTATTAGACGGGACTCAAGAAAAGTCAAAGGATCCCAAGACTGCAACGCCAAACAAGTGACCGCCCAGGGATTGCGAGTTCCTTGGGGGCTGAGACGAACTGGTCGGGTTTCTGACATGGGATGCGAGCCGTGCCATGACTCGCTCGAGGTCGTATCTCGGAAGACGTTCGGTCGGCAGACACGCCGATGTTCGGGGGTTGTGGCCGGTGCTGTGGGTCTGCCAGAGGCGCTAAGGCTTGAGTGACAGGCTGTTAGCGGGTGCCCGCAGAGTAAGAGATACTCAAGCAAGCTTCGCTTCAAGAGTTTCAACAACATCCGATATGGTGTAGTGGCCAACATGATGCCCTCTCATCTCAATGAGAGGTTAGGCATAGCCCCGAGTTCGATTCTCGGTTTCGGAACTTTTGCTGGTCAAAGGCATCCCAGTTTCCCTTTTGACGTATTTGTCTCCCGCCAGAGCAGATATTTGACGTAGTTTGATCAATACAACCAATATCTGTCTTTTTACTGCGTCCGAGACTCGATCTCAAGATCCTCTTCTTGCCCCTGACATGAAGCCACCACCACCAATCTCTCGGTGACGGCTCCGACATAAACACCCTCACCACCATGATACAGCACATGCGACCACACCCACTGGAGAACTCGGGATCCCGTCCGCTCTCCCATTGATAAACCAGTGAGGGCCGGAATAGTAGTCGGGTCGGAGACGACCGGCGAATGCCCGGTGTTGTATGTGTATCTTTTTTCTTCCTTTTGTTTTGCAGCTTTTGTGTACGGTGAAGGGTTTCGTTAAGTAGGTCCAAAGGGAAGGGCGGGTATCTTCATTGATGGTCATAGAGGGAAGTGGGGATCTCGTCTTGTCGACATGTGCTCAAAAACTGATGATACTCGCGGCTCTGTAACAGGGAAAGCTGGCTGCCTTGTAACACGAGATCGTGGGTGAGCCTAGTCACTCTCAAGACATGCAGCAAGGGCTGACAATATTGGGAGGCAGTGTTCTACGCCCCTGAGGAGATCTTGCTCGACTGGGTTCATGTCATCATGTAAGGAGTTCTTGGGAAGTGTTGATAGCTTGATTAAACAGTATGGAAGATGACGAGAAAGTAGTATGGAAGCTTGGAAAAACATGATAGCTATAGATTCATCTTACGCCAGCCTGGGCCGTAATTCCACAAGACAATCTTCAGCTCATTCCCACGCAACAGTGCGACCTCCCTCAAGATCACAAGCAGTAACGCTCCAGACTCTGCCGAACCTCCAAGCTCAACTCCGACCACTTGCTCTTCCTCGTCACGCGTTCTCCTAACGAGGCATCGTACGGAACAAAATACCCACCGACTGCAATCTTGACAGATTCTGCTGGGACCAGCTTGCACTGTCTCCGCGTTGTCTTCCCGTTGTTAGGAGGAAGGAACTTGCCTCTGAACTCTTCTGTCATGCTTGAAAGACGTGCCCAGTAATGCCGAGACGACTCATGTGGCTGCCGCTCCCATCGTCCTGATATGATCATTTCGGCTTTTTGGATCCCACTCCATGGCTTGTAACCGGTCGATTCGTGGCAAAATTGGTCGAGCTTCTTTTGATCGGTGAACCGATCGACAATCAACCAGCGAAGGACCCGTGGCGACGTAGCTGCGAGCTTCACTGCAGACCGGAAGTCGGTGTTCCCTTGGAAAGAAATGCTTGCGCCGTGGCGAACAAGGTAGATGACGGATTCCAGAACTCCTGCGCTCGACGCTGCCATGAGCGCGGAGCCCTCTGCACAGCCTTCGAAGTCTATTAGACTACCCAAAGACAAAACGTTTTCCATGGCTTGTATTTGCCCTCTGGATGCAGCGAAGCAAAGAGGATTCCGGGGACCGACACCCTCAAGGTTCAGAAGCGTACGGAACTTTTCAGGTGATAGCTTTCGACGGTACAGCCGAAAGGCCGTTGTCAGGCATGCTCCGTTGGCATCATCCTGGCTTAAGTACAAAGTCGACCACGGAATAGGCCTTTCGTCCTGAATCTGAAAATTTCCATTCAGCAACAATGCCGTCATATATTTGTTGTGTATACTCAGATGAAGGACAGAGCAGCCTAAAATGTCGACTTCGCTCGGCTTGACACCCATTTGAGTTAGCTTGATGAAGAGCGCGGGCCTACAGCTATCTCTTTCGTCAGTCTCTCTGCTGCAGAAGAGATGGTGCAACACATTGCGCCCTCTGTAATCTTTGACCAACATGTCTGGATCCCGATCCATTAGAGCTGAAATGGCAAGAGAGTTTCCCCTGAAACATGCTTCGGCCATCGGTGTAGTGCCATTGTTGTCGCGACAGTTGATGTTGCTGCCAGCCTGGAGTAAAGTTCGAATAACAGCTGAAATGTCGACCGTAGCTGTTGCCGTCGTGGCGAGGAGGAGGGGGGTGCGACCCCAATTGTCTTTGGCCTCGAGATCGGCGCCATTGTTGACTAAGAGCTGAACAAAGAACACTTTGTTCTTTATTACCGCCCAATACAAGGCTGTCTTATGCTGCCATTTTCTATTCACAGCTAACGCGAACAATGCCGACGAGTCTGCACCAACTTGCTCGCTACATCCATGTGAGTTCTTGAACCTCGTCAACCTCGGAAGTCAACTTACGCATGATGCTTCATATTTGCTTTCAGATGATCCAGAAGTATTAATAACCCTTCTTCATTGTTCGCCCTCACAGCAGTGGCTACCACACATCCTGATTCCCTCAGAACGCTACCTCCGGTCGCAATATATCTCTCGAGCATTGCAGGTAATCCTGGATTCAGAAGGGGTTGGAAAATCGTCAATAGGATGATGGAACTGTCGTTTCCGCAGGGGTAATTTGCATTTGCACCTTGTTGTAGAAGCCAAGTCATTATGTTCAGTTTCCCCAAGCGTACCGCAACTCCAAGAGCTGTAAGGCCGCCAACCATGGTAGGTATATCTATATCCACTGTCGGCAGTGATGCAAGAATCTCCTGACAAGAAGAGAGGTTACCAGCTTGGATAGCTCTAAAGACCCCTTTAGCAAGAGCTGTAGAGCGCGTACAAACCGAAACCACGGCGGGCTGGCCCACATCATGGGCTCTCAGGCAGTTAATGATCTTTTGGTTATTGTGCTGGAATGCCAGCAGCAGCGGCGTCATATCATTGCAATCGGGTGACATTTCACTTCCTAGCTCGAGGAGTTTCTCGGCCACCGCGAGGTTGCCTCGATTAACAGCAATGTGCAGGGCTAATTGGCCATCAACCGACCTCGCGTTGATGTTTGCACCTCGAGCGTGGAGAAGCTCAACCGCACTTATATCCCCGCCCATCACTGCAAAGTGAACAGCGGTGTACCCATTCTTTGCTGGCGCTTCCAAGCTGATAAAGGTTATCTTCTCAAGAATAGCCTGGAGGCAATCGAACGACGAGAGGGCTGCAATATGCAGTGGTCTAGCGCCACTGTACCTTCCAGAATGATATACAATGTCGCACTGACCTTCCCAGTCAATCGTCCAAAGGGGGCTTCTTTGCTCTAGAAGTTCGGACAAGAAAAGCACGTTACGAAATGCAATCGCCGTATGAGTCGCCGTCCATCCAAATCGACACGAGACGGTGGGATTCGCTCCTTGACGGAGGAGAGTAGCCGCCAAGTCGGAATGATTCCAAGCCAAGTGGTAAGTTAATGCCGTTGAGTAAGGCGAGGTATTGATCCGAAGATCTGGGCTAGCACCACGCCCTAGAAGCATCTCAACTATCTCATGCCTGAAAGGCGATACATCCGCCTCACTCCAGAGATGAATCAAACCCAAGCCTGACTTTGGATTCGTATGGTTCAGATACATGAGATCTGCGTAATCGAGAAGCTGCCGCACCCTAAAAGCGTCGTCGTCATGGGTTGCTGGTAAGGCACAAACATGTTCCAGTGCGGAAATCCCTTCACAGCGTCGATGGACACTGATGCCTCGTGATAACAGCTGATCTAGTGCCATACTGTAATTGAGAGTGGCAGATATTTTTAGAAGTTCAACGGCACAAGGTGACTCTTTGAAGCTGTCCCAATAGGTCGTAGCATTCACCAAGAGACACAACGTGGCGTCTGTGAGAGAGAAGTCCTCGTCGCTTCCAGGGTTTATCAACCGCTTCTTCGAACAGGCTTGAGCGATTGGTAGAAGCGCAGATCTCGAACGGGTTTTCTCGTAACTGTCGAATATGCCGGCACGTATCAGGCATTTGGCTGCTTCGTCGATATACTCGAATGTAAGATCTTCGCTCTGCGAAATTCTTGAAGCGAAGTACTCCCACACCTTCGACGCCTCAGAAGAATCTGAGTGAGTAACTAGCGGTTGGACGAGATACTCCAGCACATCCAAAGGTGTCGAGTTGAAGCCTCCGGCGGCTAAGATGGTATCCATATAACATTCCCATGGCAACTTTGCATTGCTTCGACATTGCCTTGCGTCTGGAACCAGCGATTCCAGTTTCTTAGCTAAGGTCAAGCTCGTATTGTCACCCAAACAGTGTAATGGAGTTTTCTCTTCATAGTCGGCGACGTCAACTTCTAGACCCATACTTCGAAGCAAGTCTAAGATCTCCTCAGAGCCTGATTCAGCAATCAATACCAGTATTGGAGTTTGGCATTCCCAGGCTGTCGGTTCATTTTCGCACCTCTTTAGGATCATTCTGGCGGAAACAAACATGCCCTCTTGTATCGCAAGCGTCAATGGCGTGTGGCCATCGCTGTTGCGCTTGGACAGGCTGCAGCCGGCGCTTAACAGTAAGTCCAAGGCTTCCTCGGCGTGAGAAATCCATATGTCTTCATACCAATCAATCATATCCTCTGCACGGACTAGTAAATGCAGTAGTCCATCTCCCTGATTGGGGCTCAGAATGGATGAAACATCCACCCGTCGATCATTAACCACCCTTTGCAACGCAGTGATGTTGATGGGCCCGTCGATCGCCACCAATGCCAACAACTCGAGGCTATTTGCATCATCAGTAACTTTGGAACTGATTTTATAGCCTTTAAGGTTATCCAATTTCTCCGTTAGGTTCAAGCAAAACTCCCACGCCAACTGACAGAACTCAAGATACAAAGGCGAATCATCAATACCAGAGCTGAGTGCTTCGCAAAACTGGCACAGTGATTGCAGACTTTGGCCGTACCAAAGTTGTGTTCCATCATCAGTCATCCTATTCATAGTTCTTTGAAAACAGTCTAAGTCGCTTCGAGTGGGAATAAGACCTCGATGGACGAGTAGATGGGCAACCGAAAGGTTGCGTATCCTGATCCCGGCACGCAGAGAAGAACGTAGAAGATCATCTGGTGCTCGAGTATTCATATCCAAAAATGTTCCCACGGTGTACACAGCATAGGAAATCTCGGAAACGTCCGTTCCTATGTAGAGTCTCAAAGACGATGAAATGTCGAAAAGGCCTGTAGATGGAAGTTGCTCGAAAATACCGGAAATACATTTTACGGCACACTCAATTGGAGTTCCGAGCATGCATCTGGTTTCGCAATGACGCGAATTCTGTATGAGAAATGAGCTGATCTCTGGCAGTGACATAGTCGCGGCGAAGTGTAGTGGTCGGAAGCTATCGTGAACGATTTTCGCTATCAAATCGATAGCTGTTTCGTTGAAGCTTTCCTCACTGGGATTCAATTGAGGAATACCACTCATATTCAAGACTAAGGTCGCTGCCCATGACGTAAAATTTGTAGATTTCCGCGGATCGAACAGGCGTTTCGCCTGTGCTAGTAACTCAGGATGTATCCATTCTTCTCTGGCGAAATACAACCAGTATTTCGCGGCATATTCGTAGAGAGGGTATTCATCATCCCTCTTTTTCATGTAGACGAGTTCTGCTATTGTTGCCGTCGGTAGATGGTTGAAATTGTCAAGCTGCAGGTATTCCAAGCATCGCAATGCTAGGAGTTTGTTACAACGGGGTTTGGAGATGTAAAACATTCCTACATCAGACGACCGTAAGATGCTATTCGTCAAGAACTCCTGAACCGAAAAATGGGCAAATTCGAAATAAGATCCGTCGTTTGACTTTCGAAGCAGACTGCTGCAATACCTGGCAATTGCGTCTTCCCTTATGATGCCAGATGGGCGTAGATGCTGGCTAGTTGATGGCGTTGAAAGAATCTCTCTTAGTTGTCTATTGTCGAGCCTTGGCTTAGCGTAAGCGATGAAATGCAATGTCATCTGAACGAATGTTTTCTTCGTTTTGGGAACTCTCCTCAAGATGCGCATATAAGTCTCTGGGAGGTCAGGTGGGAGACTACGCAGGGCTTCTCGACATTCCCCGTCTGATATGCAGTGTCCAAGGTGATCCAGTTGACAGGCCACCCAGCGAAACCTAGCCGAAAGCTAGGTAAGTAAAGTTTTCATGTTATCCATATTGACGGTAATGAAGCTTACATTCCGTGCGCCCCGGCGACGAGGCTTTCCAGAATCTCTGCTTTGAGAGAAAGATCTTCAAATCTCAGCTTCTTGTCGCGAATTCGCCGTTCGATTTCCGACGTGAGAAACTCGGTGATATCCTCAGTATGGGCTGCAATCTCTATGTTGTGGAAATTGTTCTCGGGATCTCGAAGGTGCCGCTGGATGTCATCCTCGTCGCGACTAAGTAGCGCCATCGATAAATCGTCTGAATCTTCTGCCATGTGGCATAGCGCCTCCACGATCTCCTCTGCGTGATCTCCGCATTCATCGAGGCCGTCAACCACCAAATAGGTTCGTTCGTAGACTTGAGACATCCTTATAATTATTCGTCCTAGGTCTTCGGTGTTGGCAGGTCGCGGAAGTCCCCTGTCTGGGTGAAGCTCAGAGTAATATTCTTCGAGCATCGAATACGCTTCCTCACTCTGTCTCGCTAGTTGGTACGCCAGGCCTCCAAGAATGTTGACAGGGCTTTGTGTCGTCTCATTTTTGTAGTCGCAAAAGAAGAAGCCTACGGCAACGTTATCTGAGCTTCTCGTAAGAGCATGGCCAATGATTGAGCCTGCGAGTACCGTTTTGCCGGCGCCAGGAATGCCGCTCAACCAGAGTCGGGTCCCTCGGGTGCTAAGCCATTGCTGAAAAGACGAATGACGTTCAAGCCACATGCCAGTCCTTGGGTGTCGAAGTTTCACACTCATCTCGTAATTCGCTTGCGGGTTGTATTTCAGGAAGAAGTGGAGGACATGCTGTCGCTGGTAATCCTCGCGAATCCGCCCCGCAATCTTTTTGGTTTTTTGAATATCGGCTAGTATCGCAGCTGTCGTTTGCTCTCTTTCTTCCTCTTTCGCAAGACAACGGAGCAATGCCTCTAGTGAAGTGGCTGATAAAGCAAGGTTCATGTTTTCCTTGTGTCGCGATAGGTCTGCGAGCATTTCCTTGGTTTTCGAAGATGTGTACGGCCACATGAGTCGTTTGAGTTTCCCCCCTGATTTGTCTTCATACTTATTCGTCTTGTTAACGATCTCGGAGAGGACTGCTGCGCAACTATCAATGTGGTGCATTCGGAAGCTCTGAATAAGAGACTCGTCCACCGCCTCCAGGGAGGCGGCCAATCGCGACAACATGTTGACAGTTCCCCCAACCACATTGACTTCTTTGCACAGATCGCTGATTTCTTTCTCGGCATTCTTGACCGACTTGATATACTTGGACAAGCGCAGAAAGACAATATCCGCAAGGGAGAGGAGCCCCGCAATGCTTGCGGCGATACTCAAGGGGTCAGCCATAGCGTAAAACAGCCAGATGATTGAAAGGATTGTCTGAAAACTGCTTGTGACCCTCAAGCCGATGTTGCGCACGCCGTTGAGGACAGGTTCACGAGCGGACACTCGAAATTCGATGGACGATGGGAATACTGAAAAGTTCCTGTTTGGGTTCATTCCTCCTCCCCAGGCACCCATGCAAAGATATTGGGGGGCCTCGGACTTACAAGTGCCACGGAAAGCGCGACCGCCCTCATAACGCTCGACATGTTGAGGCGTCTGGTCCGCCATCATGCAGGCAGGCTGTGTGTTGGTTGCTGTAGGCTGTCACACGGTGTTAATAATCATTGACAGATTTTTCGACTTCCCTACATTAGAAAACAGCCATGAAGCGTTGCTACTACGTGGCTGCATCTTCGTTGCTGCAGGCTGCATTTTCGTTGCGGCAGGCTCTGCAACGCAAGGCGGTTTTGGAAGACAACCCATCCAATGAGGCATCCAGCGCTGGGTGATCATCATCACGCCGCAACCTTAGCACATGCAGTGATGACAGGTTTGGGCGAATCAGCCCCTCGCTAGGGGATGCTGGCCACGTATCCGCAGCCCATCATATGAGTGAGGCAGTCTTGTCGTGGGAAACGTTGCAAATGTGCATATCTGGCTGAGAAATCTGGTTGGATGATAAAGTAAGGCATTCTGAACGGAAGATCCGCGATGTTTGCAGAAGTTTTTTGTGGTCTCACGCAGCGTCTCATATCGAGGTCTAGCCTGCCCTGAGACGCAGGGAAATGGCAGCGCAAAGCATGGCGTCTTGCTGTGTAGTCCAGAGAATGATGAGATGTTGGGCCTCTGCATGTTCCCCAAATGTTCACGATATTAATTTACAGCCAGAATGGACTCTCGAAGAGAGTGCATCGTGGTATGAAGAGCATTCCTCTGTTGCTGTCAGGTTTCAACGTGGCAGCAGGATGCCGGGAGCTCAGTGGACGTCTCGCCGAACCCTGGTCTACTTGAAGACGTCGTGACGCTGTGACTTGGTCGTTCGAAACCAGCGAATCTGGATTCAGATCTCATTATGGCCATCGGGCGATCGATAGATACAGACTTGGACTCTTCTATTTAAAACACCTACTTTTCCTCGGAGAGAATGGAGCTCCAGGTAGTGCCATCTTTAAACATCGGTCGGAGTGGAACGAGGCTGGTCTCTACGGCCGTTCGTCAGAAACATCGTAGCGAATTTCTACACCAAGTTATGGCACCTTTCCCGGGGGTTAGCGACACGTATTTCTGCAAAAGCGTGGCCGATCAGATCGAGACCACCGTGAAATTGAAGGCGGCACTTGGGGTTTCCATGTAGATTCGTTGTCCCAGAGGCCGTTTTTGACAATCTAAACCATTATACTGCCAACCCTCTTTTCCTAAACCTTTTGCTTTACCAAACTCGCTTTCCATATGCACCCAGGAATCGACCCAAACGCCATGCATGATCCCACGCTCCATTTCCCAAGAAAAATGCTCAAACCATATCATAACTCTCAGGAAATAGAATCGCATTCGCCATCCCAACCAGCGCCTTCTCCGTCGGACTCCTCCCCTCCTTATCCTCCCAAGGCAGCAGCCCCATAGCCCTAAGCCCGTCCTCCCCGCCTGCGTCGCTGACCTCCTGCGTGCCGGGGCGGCCCGTGTGCGTCGTCTCCCCCTTGCCGCCCCCAAAGTCCGGGCTCGGCTGGCCGAGGAGGAACGCCTTCCGCTGGCGGGCGAGGTACAGCGCGTTGGTCTGTGTCAGGGGACAGGCCGGGATGTACATAATGGTCGCGGGCGCGGACGACGTCGGCACCCTGTCGACGCCGTACACCATGTCCGGGTGCCACACGACGTAGTCGCCTGGCCGTACGGGCGGGATGCGCACTAAAGACTTGTCGAGCTGGAGATGGGGGTGGAGAGCCGAGTTGAGCTCTTGTGTGTAGGAAGGGACGGCCCCCTGGATGATGCTCGTCTGGGCAAAGTCCAGCGCCCAGTTCTCGCGCGCGAGGAAATTGGGAGACGTTGGCGAGGGGTTGCGCGGTGAGAAGAAGGGGCGTAGAAGGAAGTAGGTGGTGGCGAGCTGGAGCATGGGGCAGAGCAGGAGGGTGCCGTCGGCGGGGTTGATGTCGGACATGGACAGCCAGCCTTGGAACATGCGGAACATACTACATGAGCCCGCGCCGTTGTAGAGATCTGACGTGACTCTGAGCCGTGTACTGCTGTCCCAGGGGTCATAGTCCTCCCATTTGCCATCCCATATGCGCTGGTACGTCCCAGCGTTCCCGTAACCATCACTCTCCCACCGCTCAACACTGCCGCCGTCCACATGAGCATTCAGATGCCAGGTTTCGTCACCTGGAGTTCGAATTCGTAGACGATCGGCATATGCCACTGGTAGGTCGGCCACCACAGGAGCGCTAGGGTCCCGAGAGCGCCATAGCCGCATCAGGAACCGCTGAGCCTCTAAAACATTGGGATGAGCTCGACCCTTGATCTGTGAAGGGGACCAGTAGATTCCGAACAAGTGCGGGTCGCGCGTTGGCCAGCCCTTGGTGTGCGGGTTCTCCGATAGATACGTCTCCGTCTCTTCGCGCCAAGCATGGGCCTCGGAGGCCGGTACGACGTTGCGGATGATGGCACCACCTCGGCGCCGGAGCTTGGCGGTGAACTCGGACACGCGGGCATGGTTTTGGAGCTCCGCAAAGTCAATGGTCGGGATGATGTCTGATTTCCTGACACCAATGACGGCGATCTCGGCCCGAAGAGCTACTAATAAGCGTTCCCATGATTGCACTATGGCGTGCTCCTTGCCGGCGACCAGGCTTCGTTTAATCTGAGCAAATCTCGGTGGCAGCGGGATGGGTCCGCCATTCTCGGTGAAGATTTCGTCGGCACGCATAAAGCCTCGTGGGTGATTGTCCAAAGCTATAGGAAAAGATTGTGACCAAAGTAGACTGGGGGTATCAAAAGGTGAGAGGAACTGAGAAAGCAGATCGTCTGAGATGGATGAGAAATCGAGCTCCGGCAGTGGCGACGTGTCATCGCCTTGCCCATATTCATTTGGGAACATGTCGTCCTCCATGTTGCAGCGTGATGCAGCGTGAATAGCTGCAACGTACCGGGTGGTACTTGCAGAAGCTCCGTATTGTATTTGTTGGTGGTCTGGACGAGTTGGAGCATGTTCCTAGAGCGATGGTATCGGGCCCCGTCGCCGACAAGGTTCCGGGGTCAGGATCACGCGGGGCCGGGAAAAGGTCGGGTCGCCGCGGCTCAACAGTGGGGGATACTTCTAGTCGCTGACAACGCTACAACCGGGCCGCTGTGCCGTCACAAACCTCATTGAACCTCGTTCCTGGATACTAGACCAATGGTAGAGTTGACTGACAAGTGAAAAGTAGCCGCATGGTAAGTGTTCTGGTTCCCATTTCCAAGGCCGCTCTCCGGCTCTCCATTCAGCCCAGTTCCGGGACACATGATGCAACGTTTACCACACCTTCAAGCTGTGGACGCATGCATCAGATGTCAACCTCGGGCAGATCCATCGCCGCAGATTGGATCATATGATCCGGGTTGTCGTTCCCATCTGCCGTGTTTCGAACGGGCCCAGTTTCCGCCGTCCGAACGCTGACAATATTAAGCTTATTACGCAGCCTTCCCACGTTTCGATCTTCTGACTGGCATCTTGTCCTCGACTACATCTTCGGGGCTCTTCTTTCTTTTTTCCGCAGCTGCTGCCGCTTTTGTCTGCGGAGCGGCCGTCTTCGCAGCCTTTGACAGGCTGCGTTTGAGCGCCAGCTTGGGGTCAACTCTTTCCTGGTGGAAGATGACGTAGGCCACTTTCTCTACGTCTAGGGCGGACACCTCGAGTCTCTTTGTGAGCTTTTCTACTTGGATGTTGAGAGACTCATACTCCTTCGTGTTGTATTTTAGTGACATTTTCTGGTTTTTGTTGCACAGCCAGTAGTACCCCTCGTCGGAGAAGAACATGACTTTCTCAGAAAAGTGTACTGCAAGAAGGAGCGAAGCTGTCGCGGGACCGATACCCTTCAACTTGGTCAAAATGCCCAAAGCCGCTGAAAGGTCCGAAGTACTTTGATAGCTCGCAATGGCGTCCTGGATAGTCTTCGCAACAGTCGAAGAATCGTTGGACGACACCAACTTCATCAGCGTTGGACGGAATGTCCCATGACGGCTGCAACAAGTAGATTAGAACAACTTCCAACCACTACAACAATTGGGGCGCACATGACCCAACATATGCACACACTTATACGAAAATCTAGAAAACGGGGACCTGCAGCGGCAGCCCCTTCTGAAGCTCCGCATACTCATGTTGTAGGGGAATGTATAATCAAGAAAGGCTTGCACTTACAGCTTCCATTCCACTAGGAGTCTGACGTCGTCATGGTCCATCCCCCGCTTCGGCTCATACTCAGAAAACTGTGTCGGGGCCTCGACATATCGGAAATGGTCCAGTTCTTTCAGTGTCTTTTGGCCAGGCTTGGCTATGTGGAAGAGTTAGGAATCTGCTGGCAAGCCCAATGATACTGCGGGTAAGAGCCGCGATCGAGGGCCGACATACCGCCTTTGGTGGACGAAATGGATTCGATGAGAGGTTCGTATTCCGAAAGCAAATGCTTGAATTCCTTAGCAGATAGCTTGTCGGGTGACATAATCTTGGGAGTCCAGGTCGCCATGGTGCGCGACGTTCCTTGTTCGTGTCTAGGAACGCGAGTAACTGGGTTCTCGGAGCAAAGAGACGTTCAAGAAGTATAGCAAGGGCGTGAGTAGGGTGTAAATGAAGCTCCCCAGAAAAAAGCTTTACACGCTACTGTAAGCAGCAGAGAAGCGGATCAGATCGCGAGGATAGTAACTTCTTTCGACGTTAGGTGAGCCAGAGCCCACACTGAGCGTGGTGCCAACCCAAGTGCCCTGTATCAAAAGATGATTAGGTAAAGCCTGGGTACGATCCCACTCGTTCGAGGCTCGTCGTTGAGGTAGGGTCAGAAAGCCACAAAGGAGCTGGGTGGAAGCTGTAACTCTATTGGGAAAAATGGGTCCGTTGAAACGAAACGAACGACAAACGGAGTACGGATAATGCCAGTTATTCAGGCATGTGAAAGGATGGAAGACCAGACTGGATGAAACGGCTTCTGTAGCGACATTCCCGGAACGCTACAAACAATTTCCGGCCCGGACTCTTTCCTCAGCAAAAACGACCCACTCATAGTGTGTCGTCGGTGAAGACCCCAGGTGGAGAGTGCGACTGGTACGCTACTGGCCCGGAAGGACCGTGCCCAAAGACAGTCTGGAATGCCGATCCATGCAGAAGCGCTACGGGGTCGTCCGAGGGGCAGCAGGAAAAAAAAAAAAAAAAAAAAAAAGGTCGGTCTGCGCCCGCCTGAGCCTCTTTTCCTTCCTCACTCCTCAAACTCTCACGAACTCTTCACTTACCGCCATCGATTTTCTGTACTCGACTCTCTAAAACCGACACTTCAAGGTCCTTCCACTTCCGACAGATATCATCAAAATGGGTAACGTATGTACACCCGACGAAACCTTCCCCCTCACCCCACCGCTGATCAGGGTCCGGTGGAAACCATGAAAATGAGGGGCAGATTTGATGCTGACATTCTGGGGGGATCAGGGCGCAAAGGCTCAGCAGAAGCGTGATCGCAACGCCAAGGATGCGAAGCCCAAGGGCTCTCAGCTCAAGGTGGTACGTATAATTAATCTGGAATCGTTACCTTCCCTTACGTCCAGGCGACTGACATTTTTGCGACCAGAACGCCGCCGCCAAGGACATCCAGTGCCAGATCTGCAAGTCCACCTTCCTCAAGACCACCAAGGCTCCCGCGTAAGTCGCAAACTTCTCGACCCCTTCTTTATAACACCAACTTTTTTGTCTGAAATACAGCGCATATACTGACATTGTTCCTTTTCAACAGTCTCACCGAGCACGCCGAGAACAAGCACAGCAAAGGCCTCGCCGACTGCTTCCCCGCCTTCGTTGCCGCATAGTTTTGAGAGACAGGATTCACGGACAGACTGGAGTTGTGAGGAGTTTCAAGAGATGAGCATGACGGTACGGCGTGATGTTGAAGAAATGATGGGCGGAGTCGGTCAAGATCTGGCCCAGGGCATGCAGCGGAAAGGCGTAATTTGAAATCTTGCCCTCTTTATTTTCGGAAAATCAAGAAAAAATACGATCAAACGAGTCCACATACCTTCACGACTTGAGACGCCCGTCGTGGTCGAGTTTGTTTGCTCTCATGCCCTGTGTGAGATTGCTGACATTGTAGTGCAAGCTGGAGTCTCCGCCGGCATAGCTGACGATTTCATCCAGATACGGATCTATGTAGTTACTACTGCCCCGAGGAGAGAGGACTTTTTTGAATCTTAGATACAGTTTCCTTTACGAGCCCTCAATGCGCCGGGACAGGGACCGATGAAACCTCCGGAACACCCTTCACATCCTTCTCCACGCCACCAGCACCATCAGCAGCAGCAGCAGCTCTAGCTTGCTCCTCGCGAATAGCAGCCAGAATATCCGGATACCACCTCTCCCCCACGTCCGGATGACTCTTGACCCGATTCCTCAAAGTCGCCTCCCCAAGCGTCTTAGCGACCCCGCCCTTCCGGAACGTAAACTCGACATCATCAAGCCTCGTTCCCCCGTTCCTCTCCAGCACAAGCCGCCTCTGCTCCCGGATATCCTCGGGTACCCGCCCGACTCCGACGGTCTCGAGGTCCTCGAAATCGGCGTCCCCTCTCACGCCCTGGAAAAACGGGATCGAGAACCGCGCGCCCTCGCCGGCGGGCGGGCTGAGCACGCGGTGCGTCGTCGACACGCAGACGCCCTGCGTCAGCGCCTCAAGTCCTTGCCCGATAGCCACGACCAGCGTGCCCTCGACGGGCGGCGCATCAATCCATTCCCCGCGGACGTTTTGGACCTGCAGGCCGCGGTGGTGGCTCGCTTGCAAGAGGTAGCTGCTCAGCATGCTATCCTTGTGCGGACCGACACCCTGCCCCTGGATCTTGGGATCCGTGATGCCGAGTTCCTGGAGGTCTGGGTACTTTACGATTTTGAGCTTGTGCTGCTGGTTGGCGTCAAAATACTTGTTGAAGGCATTGGGTGGTAGCTTGATGGCCTCGGCGATGAGGGAGGTGAAGGCGATGGAGACTTGACCCATGCGGTCCATGTACTCTGTGAAAGTGGCGCGGAAGCCGGGGAGGACGGATTCAGAAGGCCACTGGTTTGGGGCGAGGAGGTTGTAGTAGAGCGGGTCGTTTGGTCCTGGCAGCGGGTGTTCTGTCGAGAGGTCGATTTGTTCGCGGTGGTCTATCTTGCCTGCTGTGATTTCTGCTGAGAGTTGGGAGTAGCCGAGGAAGGATTTGGCGTTCTTCATCTCGATTTTTAGTCTAGCCGGGGGATGTTAGCACACCTACAGGCGATACAAAACCAAGGCTGAGCCTCATTTTCTCTAAGCTAAGAAGGGCACTGTACTTTTCCTCGGTGGGTATATCAAAGAAGCCCTTGCCTTCTTTGATTACCCTCTTGAACAGCTCGTCGGGGATACCGACGTTCTTGAGGTACAGAAACCCGACTTCCATGAGTGCATGGCGCAAATCGATGAGAAACTGCGGTTTCGTCTCGGGATCCCGCGCCAAGGCGAGGTCGAGGATCGGAATGGACGTGAAAGACATGGCTGTGTGTCTCACTGCTGCAGTTGCATACTCTACTGGAACTCATAAACAGTCGAGAGATTAAAAGACTAGAGAAAAGGCTAAGCTGCACTAGGAAGAAGGTAGGGAAAGCAGTTGAACTGGATCGTTTATGAATCGAGATCTGTAGTGTTGAGTAATTTTCAAGATATCAGTGGTATGACCCGGATAAGAGGAATGCGATGTCGCAGCATTTGACGCGCCGCTGTTCAAGTAAGCCGTCGTTTGAGCAATTGGGCAACGGGATGGCGTAATGCGGGCGGCGGGGCACCTCGCCGATCGGCTTGCCCCGCAGTTCGGCGCGGCGGGGTCACCGAATAACCGGCGCATATTCACATTCCATCGACGTAACCGCTGCCCAAACCTCATACCTGACCTAGGCGCCCGAAACGCGAAAGCGTTACAACATCAGCCTAAATACTATCAGCTACGGAGTCACGATCCTGATCCATACTATCATAGCTGATCATTCTTAATATTTACATTCATTCGCCAAAGTAAACCCCAGTGGCCCCTAATATCTACCAACCTGAAATCACTTAAACACACCAAAAAAAGAATTCACCACCGGTCTGGCTACATCTCTTGGTGCTCATGCTGGGATTCGAACTCGGGTACTCGCTAAGCCTGTCGTCGAGTAGGCTGGTTGGCGTTAGAAATTTAATTGTCGACCATTAACCACTCCACCACCCAGCCAGTTTGACCTGACCCGTCGACCTAGACGGGCGCCTGCTGGCTGGTGACAGGAATGGGATTGAGAGGGTCTATATACCCTTCTCGCGGCATGTGGGGGAAGGAACGAGCCAGGCGGTCTGGACGTACGTGTCTACCTGCCTGACAGTCCATCAAGGTATACAGACCCAGCGCAGCTACGATGAGCAGCACGTCAGTATCTCGCGAGGAGCCTGGCTGGAGGGAGCCGCCAACCACTTGGGCCAAGTCAAGTGTGAACATCTGCACAAGAAAAGCCCTTGAAGATCCAAATGCTTTTACTACATTCTTCTATTATCGGGTATAATGCACATATTTTGACAACTTTTGTTTAGCCGTTTCATGATCCCAGAGGCTTCGTCGCCAATAACCCCGTAACCTTGTAGAACATGTCCTCAACCGAGGGCATGGCAAAAGCCGGCGCCGCATCAAACAGCTCGGCGAGCTTTTGCCTGTTGATGACGGCCGGTTGGGCATCGTCATCATCCAAATCCATTTCTTCCCCGTTCGCAGCCTCCGTCTCCTGCTCATTGTCGCTGGCCATCTCCTCGTCCTCGATGGCGTCGTCCAGAATCACGTCGGCGGCAACCGGCTCACCGTCCAGCTGCATGTCCTCCAATGGCCTTGAGAGGGCGACAGCTGCGGGATCCGAGGCCTCGGCGACTGACCACAGTTGCGCGGCGTCGTCGACCGCCACGAAGCCTGATGAGCTTCCGGTTGAGACGAGACTGGTGATACGGTGGGGGATGCGCCTCACGCACAATAGCGCAGGCTCTTCCGGCTTGAAGACTGCGAGCTGCGAAGCCTGACCGCCAGGTACGACGACGGCAAACGTCCGTGATTTGCGGTCAACAGCCAAATGGCTGAACTCCTTGACTGCTGTGGCGTTGCGGCCGCTCGGCAGCTGGAGGCCGTACTGCAGCTCGTCGGCGACCACATCAAACACTCTCAGGTCATCCGAGAGGGTGATGATGTATGGGGAGAGAACCTGGAGCCGGCGAATGTGGCCCTTCCACATGTTCTCCAGTGTCGACCTAATCTCACCAGTCTTGGTATCGATCACATAGATGCCGCCGTCGTTTGAGTGGCCAAAGGCAACAAAAAGCGTCGAGCCGTCCTCGGAAAAGCATAGGCTGCCGCTACGCTCTCCCGTCGTCTCTCCAGTGGAGGTCAATGCATCAGCTCCCACGTTGCCTCCGAGACCCACGGCCACGGTGCATGACCACGAGTGCAAGACCTCGCCGGCGTTGTCCTTGGATGCGATACCATCCTGTTGCCTTGTTTTTGACTGCCATATCCGTGCCGTACCGTCGTCTCCGAGGGTGGCGAATCTGTTCGTTGTGTGATCTGCCGCAAGTGCCAGGACCGTCTCTGGCCGACTTGTGACGTGCGGGCTGTTGATTCTGGAAGACAGGGAAAAGTGCTCTTCGCCAGCAGTCGCAGACCAGAACTTGAGATAGATCTCGCGCCTCTCTCTCACAAACTGCTCACGCGCCTCTGGTGCCACCTTCTCCAAATCACGCTTAGGAGGTTGCCAGTCATCAACAGTCGCCAACCACCTGCCGTCTTGCGAGAATGCGACATGGGTTATGCGAGGCTCTGAGATGGGGTTGCCCTTTGATGTGATATTAACATCTGTCGGCTGGGTTCTTGCCAGAGCTTGCTTTGAGACACTCCGGAACGACTCCATATCGAACGATTGCAACAAGGGTGCTGACTGGATCTCGCCAGCCAACATAGACTGCTGACCAGTTCCTGTGCAGACATACAGTCTTGATGGCTCGGCGGGGTTCAGTGCCGCAGGGACTGGATGCCGCACCTCGTCGGAAACAGACCAGACACGCTTGACGAGCAAGTCCTTTGGCGTGGAGGTAAATCGGGCGGCTGACTGAATACCAGAGATGTACGTCGATGGCTTCATCTCAGCCGTGGACAAGACAATGGCAGAGTTGTCATCCAAGTGGATAGCGTAGGATGCTCCGGTGGGAGAGACAACAATGTTCTCGATACTTCCCGACAAGTGAGGGAGGAAATCTTTCCTGCCGGTATCCATCTGCCAAAGCACGAGGACATTTTCCGAACCACCGGAAATCATGTATTGACCTGTGGCGCGTGTTAGTGTTTACAATTGATAGTAATTTGCGACTGAAAGTTCTCACCATCCTTTGACCACTTCACGCTGTGGACAGCCCTCCTGTGCCAGTGGAATTTGCGGCTCGTAAGAGCCTCTCTCTTAGATTTTGGCCCATTGAGGTTCTGCAGTTTTCTGAGGATGTCGTCGTAGAAGTAGATGGCACCTCGGGCACCACCCGCAATCAGGTCGAGGGCGAGCGAGTTGTCCTTGCTGTGTGTAACTCGGATATCGAGGGCGCAGATAATATCGGTCGTATCGAACGTGAAGAACTCCCACTCGGTCTCCGGCGTCAGTGTTCCAACGACGAGACCATCCTTGGTAGCTCCGACAATGGTCTTGCCATTGGGGCTAGAGCGCAGTAAGTGGATCGCCTGATCAACCTGCTTTGTAGCAAAAAGAACCTCTGCGGTGGGCTGCTTGAAATCGGGGCCGGAGTATGCGACAATTTCGCCCTTGGCGTGCTTCTTCCCCTCCGAGACGTACAGAACCTCGGTCGTCTTCTTCTCTCCCTCGATTGTTGCAACGGACAGGTCCAGCGCCGTTTGCGACTGGGTTCTGAACTCGTCGTAGACACCGGTTCCCTTCTTCCAGTTTACCCGCCAGACCCTGCCGTCAGAGCAGGCTACCCAGAGGAAGTCGGGCTTGAGCTGCGACTGGCGCGTGGCCACGATTGTGGGGGCAGACGACTTCTCCGCGTATGTGTTTTGGACCACCGGGAGGGCGATTCTTCGGATCAATAATGACTCGGCCACCGAGTAGATTTGCAAGGATGTGTTGTAAGTGACGATCAGGTACCTGGTTCCCCTCATGTTAGACACCAAAAGTCGACCAAGAAACGTCTGTTGAATTAGCACCTACTTCTCGTTCTCGGCAAAGATGGGATCAATGTCAGCCATGCGGCCACCCATTGGCAGAGACACTTGCCATCCCGCCTCCTGAGCCTCCGTGTCGCCGAGCTTGACCAGCTCAGTCTCGATTTGGTCGTCGGTAAGGTTCTTCTGGAGCTGCGAAAGCACGTTCAAGGCGCCGTCGCGAAGGTCGTCGGCGTCGGTGTTTCCGTTCTTTTGGCCATTTGCTTTGCCCGCCGTCTTGGTCTTTTGCCGAAGGCGCTTCGCTTGCCCGTCCCTCTCGTTCTGCTCTCTCTTACGCTTCTTTTGGTCCTCCCGACTTCTCGGGGTCGAAGGGCCAGCCATGGTGTAGGTATAAAATTGCGCGAAAGCTGATAACGACTTCTAAACACAGGCAATTGAGAGTCGTGGAATCTCGAGGCGAGGAGACAAGGAAGGGAAGCTGCGGCCTGGAGACTATCTTTCGTTCGGTAGTCTCTGACTTTCAATCCTGCTCTGTTTCGCACACACGACCCTTCTTTCGTTCCTGCTAAGAAAAAAAAAAAGTTCGAGAGTTCCCAAAGAAATTTTGGTCCCGCTCAGTCGCCCGGCCATGCAATTGGTGGAGCTCCCCCACAATCAACACCGATAAGATAACCGGCGGAGGAAATCACGGACCGACAAATTTTCTGTTCGCCCGTCTGGTCGCGCGCCTTCCCACTGCGACAGGAAAGCCCCGGAAGTTTTCTTTGACGACGGCGACGACGATTCGGAAGGCAACAGTCACAGGAACTCAAACCACGCAACACCTCGAGAACCGACGTACCGGAACCGCGACGGTCTTTCAGTGAACGAACGTCAAACTGCCACAGCTCCATTTCCGACTTTCTCAGGCACAATGATTATCCCCGTTCGCTGCTTCTCTTGCGGCAAGGTTAGTCGGCACAGATAATCGCATGCAATTGACGCCTGGTATCTAATTTGTGTTGTCAGGTCACCGGAGACCTGTGGGAGCGCTACCTCAAGCTCATCGACGACGGCATTACGGATGGGTGAGTCACCACGATCGCAATGCTGGATTGCGAAACACGATAATTAACGTTCACGTCAACAGTGACGCGATGGACCAGCTTGGCCTGAAGCGCTACTGCTGCCGCCGCATGGTCATGACCCACGTCGACCTTATTGAGAAGCTTCTCAAGTACGCATACCATGGAGCAGCTTGTGCCTAATCGTTCTTTCGGAAGCTTACAAACCCCTACAGGTACACCCCCGATGGTCGCAACGAGAAGAAGATGTCCTTGAACCCATAAAGTGCCAGGGGTGGATTTCACGAATTGGAGTTTTTTTTTGGAAAACATTGGCATTGCAAGGCGTTAGGGAATCTCGAAGAAGGCAGAGTACGCTGCGCGAAGAGGAGAAAAGCTGTACTCGAGCCGTGACAGAGCGTCAGCGAACATGTGCTTGGTTACAGATGGAAAGCTCCCGTCTCCGACTCCCATGGGCAGCGAGAACCAGCCACCTCAAAGCAAGCTCAGCAAGCGGTGGCAAGAGGCATGCCGATTGGCATCGAGACAGTCTTGGGTCCGGATGCAACCCCGCCACATGGAAATGGACAGTGGCTGGAAATGTACGCAGGAATGCTATTTCGGAAGGTCTCGATTCTTCAAGATGACTCTACCAGTCTTCGCGTCGCCCGTCATGTGATTAGCCAGCATGTTGGGTCCCAGTCAATGGGGTGTGACCTTTGGTCGGTAGTACTAATTTTATTTGCTGGACGACCGTCTGGTTTCCCACATTGACAGCTCTTCGAGAGATCCCTCCGACAAAGAACGCAGCTATATCGGGCGACCTATGAAACAGGCATCCGCATGTGTGTAGCAGTGCCACACACCAACAATGTTTCAATGCTCTAGCAGAATCACTGGTTGTCTCTTAAGTTTGAAAGCAGTGCATCATTTTCGATCTGGCGGTCAAGGCAGAGGTAGCAGCCAGTAGGCAAAGTAGCGTTCATGTCAGTCCGCCTGGCCACTAATCGCTGACCACATGCGCCTTGTTGGAACGGCATATGATGAGTGGTGAGACGGTGCTATATGGACGAAGAATATCACATCTAGCACAGCCTGTACCGGCCAAAGAGCCTCCAGCATCTTTCCGGTCAGTGACGTTGTACAACAGGCTGACCTTGGGGGCCAGAATTATATGCAAGGCGGAGTTCACCGATTGAACCTCCGCGATTGTTCTGGGCTCTGCTGAGAAACAGGCAGTCCGGGTACACGACCCGGGAGAGCCCAAGCCAGTCTGCCGATTTCTGCCTGGTGCTTGTTTTGATTGCTGAATGCTGGTAGATGGTGACCCATTCTTCCTCTTTTTTTTCTTTTCGCGTGATACCCCAAGCACCAACGAAGACATGGGTTTAGCAAGGCAGCGGGTGCAAAGTGCTGTGCTGGCCGTCTGGCAGTGGCTAACTTGAAGACCCGAGGGTTTGGGAATAGCGCAGTGGTGGTTTTTGCCGCGAGATGCACCAACAAGATTTCCTGAACGGGACCATATCCGCCGAAGCTTTCATTTCGCGGAAGGTGGTGATTTGTCACAGGACACAGGGTAGCTCCAACAAGCCTTGGTTTGCTGCACAGCGTTCAGAGTCTGGAGATACGTCCGTCTGGCCGAACTAGACTGACGCATATGCGGAACCGGAAGACCGCTCACAGATAAGCAAAACTTAGTAACAAGGACCCACAGCTCTATGGCATCGAGTTGTATTCGCATGAGTACAAAATTACTTCGGGATCCTGAGCTCGAGGAACTGGCGCAACCGCGAAAGGATTCGACTTTAGCGCGCAACTGCTACCGCGACTGGCTCTCCTGTGTCCAAAATTGCAGCATAACTCCAGCTTCCTACATGTCGTACAGAGGAAGGCCATACCGGATGGGGAGTCCTGAGCCGTAGGGAGCCCACAGAGCTGCTTGTTGGCGCCTACGCGTGTTGAACTGCATGCGTGATGCGGTCGTGGCGTCAAGGATACCACGAAGCAAGCAGAGACCCGGCTAGTCGCAGGCCAGCGTTCGGGAGGGGAGGGCTCATGGAGACTGGAGAGGGAAAAGATCTCATACCACCCTTGGCTAGTGGTTGGTTCCCTTTCGTTCTTGATATCTGGAAAATGAGTTTGCCGCAGGCGTCGGCGATATTGACATCGTGTCTGATCCTTCGAAGCGTAGAGGGGTGGTAAGGTGAATAGTCCGGCCCCTCCATCGACGATCAGCAAACTGGTGCCCGGTCACGAATTCCTGGGTCCTGGAGGCTGGAGCTGGCACACCCCACCGGGTCGCTGGGGTCGGGGTGGTTTGCTTTTACCAAAAGTCGTGCTAGCGCTGTGATCAGTCGAGGGCACCTACATGATAGCCAGGGCTATCACTGTACTAAAACGACGGCTGGGATGCAATTCTTCAAGAAGATGACGGTCTCAATGGACGATGAAAGGTTCTTGTTGAGGACCAGCAATGGTATGCCTTCCAGGTTCTGGGCAGTTTGCAAAACGTACCAAGCATACGTACAAAGTCGTCAAGTTTGCGAAGCGAGCTGTTGTCAGGTGATGAGTCTGTCTGCGAGACATCGACGGGTCGCCGGGGACCCTGACAGGGGCGGGGTTTTCTCGAGCAACATTATTGTTGGGATGCTTGGCCGGATCTTGTTACCCGTTTCTATGAACCGATTGCCCAGGATAAGTGACTTGGGTTTGACTTTTGCAATGTGTAGCCTACGGATACTCTGTACGCCAGTGTCAAGGAATAGTTCTCCAAGGTAAGTCCGAAGATGGTTTGTTGCAAGCGTACCTTTAGTCCATGCTACATGAATGAACACCGAGTTGCAAGAACTAAGTCACTGGTTTTGAATGTCAGGCATCTTCTTCTCTGTCTTACACAAGCAAACTTACCAAGCACTCAATGCAACCATAAAATGGGCTGCTGCCCAGCTGCCTAGGCAGGTGACAGAGACTGGCTAGCAAAGTTGTCGAAGACAGACTCGAACCAACAGCCAACGCACAACCAACGGTGAAGGAGGGATACGTACCCGCCAGTAGGATTTGAAGCCGCAACGGGCCCAGGCTCCCATCCAATCCCCATCCAATCCCTACCACAGACGGTTTTAACAAACGGTAGGCTTGGGTGTGGCCTGTCAGACCTAGCGTGTGAATAAAGGTCGATCAGGGCCCACTCTGTGTCGAACGGTGCACCTCACCGCAGCATGGTGCCGCTGCAAGTTTCTCTTTCTTTTTCCCCCCTTCAATATCCGTAAGGTACTGAGGAAACGCCGTTCCAGATTGTCGGAATCCGTGTTGCCATGAATAGAAAAGAGAAACGGGGATTCGAGTACGAAGCACACCAATGTCGTAACGCGGACGTGTTATGCGTGGCAGACACGTTGGGCTCGCGAGGATCTCGTTCTTGTACCCTCCTACAACGATTAGCCCTCTGTTGAAAGTACACACGATAGTGAAGGAAAGACTGGTGTGAGCGTACATCACCAACCACCTCTCTCTTGGGGTCTTACCTGATGAACGGGTTGAACTTGGTCCGATGTCTACTGACCTGATTAGGCAGGTTCTCGCGGAGCAGGTAGTCCCAATCACATGGTTCAAGTCGGTTCGGACCACGTGGAAGAGGTGCGACTTTGTTTATTTCGCAGCCGACCGACTCGCATCGCAATTTTCTAAATCCTCGTCGAAAGTCAAAGGTCGAGGTCGAGGTCTTGTTCGGTTCCATTGCGCTAGAGCCGGCAAATGAGCTTGTGATCCACCGTAGCTTTCGCTGTCGAAATTTGAAGTGAAGAGGTGCTGGGCGTCTGCTCCCAAGTCTCAACGGAGCTCCCGCGCCTTGAACACATCCACACACACACACTCCCACCAGGGCGGCAAACAGGGACCGAGACTGGTAACGAAGACGTCCACGACAACGGACGGGCAGAGCCGTTCACAATGGCGCACGCGCATGTCACGGCCCCCAAATGCACAGTACACAAGCAGCTCCAAGTAGCGTGACTGTGTTTCCCGCGTCTTCAATGACACGGCATTGTCAGATTGGCCCGCGAATCTCTCTGATGGGGGGACAAGAGGGCGTTGGAGGAGGTTGCGAGAGATATCCGCCCATCCATCCCCGATATGCGAGCAGGCACACTGCACGCAATCAGAAGAGGGACAAAAGTCCCAATTCAGACATGCAGGCCGCGGTTGATACCGTTGGGCCCAGCATACCGGCTCGGTCTTAACAACATGTCGCTGCCGGCCTCAGTTTCGGCCGATCACAGAGGAAAGGGTTTTTCTCTGTCCAGATGATTCTGATAACATGGATAGGATTGGAATTGGTGAGGAGAAATGATCGTAAAAGTTGTCCAACGTCAGAGCCGAATTGAGGTATAAGAAAGCAAATCTTCGGTGAGGTAAGGTACCTAGGCAGACAATACCTCAATGCCACCACATTCACTTTCATCAGGTTAAGGTCATTGGCAGTCTTGCTGCTCCGTTTTTCGTACTCCGTACCCATGGTCAAATGCGTTCCTTCCATATGATCCTTCGCACCTACCTTACCTCCCTACTCTATACCTGACGTTAAGTTTCCGCAAACAGCCATTACCTCCATCCGTGAAAGAGACGGCGGGGTGGTTGAGATACAGGCTGAGGAAGGTTCTCTCTTCCCTGCTGTTGCCTTTAGTGCAGCGGTGGCCCTGGATCTTTCCTTCTTGGCCGGGTGCCCCTTGCCTTTTCATCACCCCTCCAAGTGTAAGGCAAGCCCCTCCGTCCCAAGTGGGGACCGTCAAGTGCAGGGGGTCGGTTGTGGTTCACGGGCACGACTGGACGGAAGCGAGACCCACCTTTGCTAAGCGCCGACGCCTGTCTGCTTCATGCAGCCCACAGCTCGACGTCGCTCTTCTCATCCACCGACACCACCTTGTGCCCAACTCTGACTGGTTGAACCCGTCAGGAGGTGCGCTGCTATGCCCATGGGAGAAGACGCGCAGCTGCATCTCTGACTGGTTCATCCATCGCCTTCTACATGCTGCCCGGTGCCTGCCTTAACCCGGGCCAAGTTCGTGGAGAATGGTGTACCCTGGGAAGGAAGAATGGGGCAAAAGATGGTGGTGGTACCGCGGTGGTTGTCTCCGACTGAGGTGCGGCCGACCCAGCTCGCGGATTGGATCCCACCCCGTAGACCTCTCGTCTTCCTGGGCACCTCGGCCCTCTCTACTTCAACGACTTGACTTCTTAGCCCTCTTCCCTTCGTCCTGTCGGATCACTCTCCTCTGCTCAACTGCCAGCGAACGCTACGACGATCCATTCCTGGTCTCCCCCTTCTGATTCATTCCCATGTGAGGTGCCTGTCCATAGGGCGGACCGGAACTAGGTCAACCATTCAGACAACACACAAATTTCTGACATTTCTGACTTGACTCTCCTCCACAACTCAAATTCAGCTTATCTTGCTTCTTGAGAAGCACCGAGAACGCCAATTCTTATTGCTGCTGGTTTTCTTTCCCTGCAAATCATAACACTTTCTCGCCGTTCCGTTGGAGGGCTGGCCTCTTTCTTTACCCGTACCACCGAACCGCCAGCCTCTGTGCCACCTGCCCGGGTGTCTGTACGGTGGATGTTTGACATCCACATCAACCGCGCCGTCTCAGATCAGCTGTCGGCTGCTCTTCTTCTGTCTGTCTACCTGATTCTTCCATTCTGTCAACTTTCGCTCCTCTTCCCGGCTGCCCGAGACCGCATAGACGACGAAGCCGTCGGTGGAGCCGTGCTAGTCACCCGTTTGGTCGAATCTTAGCCGCAGCTCTCTCTCAACCGCCCTTCCCAAGAGACGGGCATATTGCAGCATACCTACCTAAGCTTAGTCGCAGAGACAGACGTACAGCTCTCAGCCTGATCTGGCTCTCTGAAATTTCTCCGAATTCCTCTCAGCAAGGCCGTAGTCGCTTTGCCCCCAGGTCGAGCCAACTTGCCTTCCCCATATATGACCCTTCAATCGTCAGGATCGCTATTTGGGTACCCCTGCTGCCACAGTAGACCCGCCGCGACGCAGCGAAACCAAACCTGGCCCTGTCGATATTTCGCGTGAGCGAGGCACAGACACGGTCAGCTAGGGTCGGTCTGGAGCCACCCCGGTCTCCGTACCGTTACTCTTCCCAGCACTGAGGTAGCAGTAGGCACAGCTCCTCTTAAACTGCCCTCCCCACCCTCTCGCTCTCGAGCTTCTTCACTCTCGAGCCTGCTGTTGCTAGTCTGGAAGCTTGATGATCCCCGGGCCGTCGTCTACGAGACCTTCCAGCACAGCTTTATTCCTTCGCCTCGACGGCCTCTAGGATCACGACCAACACCATTTAACCAGTGCGGCCCAGGAGTAGACCCAGCCGACCAGAAAGCAAACTACGTGGGGCTCCCGAGGCATTCTCGACTTTGACAGCCGCCGGATACCAGTCTGCTGGACAGCCCGGCCGACTTCCATCAATACCTGCGTCAGTGCCGAAAGGTTATCGCATACAAACGAGTCGATAGACTGACGATGGCACTCGAAGCCCCCCTCCGGTCGTCTATCGGAAGTCAAATATCTGGTTATTCCCATCACAACGACATGTCTGTCTCATCTCCCGACAACGGTTCTTTTCAATCACCTTTCGCCAGCATGTAAGCAGTCATGGTCATACGGTGTCGTTGTAGTTCCCAAGCTTACATATAAGCATAGGTCTTCGAACGCCTCAGATCACTCCGGCCGCAATTCTCTGCGCCCCAACTCCATTCAGAGAGTTCCGTCGACAAATTTGAACTTGATGAGCCCGAGCGATATTGTTGGACCTTCACCAGTCACTTCAACTGGTACTGAAACAACAGAAATCGAGGACGAAGAGGCGGAGGAGGTTCAGGCCCGGCCTAATGTTACCAATCCGGCACCGCACCCTCAGGTTAGTCTTTTCAATGCCATGCCAAAGGCAGGCAGCGTGACTGACCATATCTAGCTCATGATGCTCTCGACCAACATCCCCGATCATCTGCGACAAAGTAGCAGTGAAGAAGCCGTATCAGTCATACATGCGCCGGAAAGCTTTCATAGCTGGGTAAGCATCTCAGGGAAACTCTTTCCCAAACAGGCAAAAGACTAACCTTGAGACAGGCCTCAACGGAGCCGACAGTAAGGCCGGATCAAAGCAGCACGAGATCATCACCCAAGACCGATACAATGAGTCTTCCATCCGTCACCGACCATGCAATTAAGGTACAGCTGCCCAAAACCTTCACCTGAAGCCATTCAAGGACTGAACTAGAACAGTCGAGATCCCCTGGGCTACCTACGCCACCTCCTCTCTCGACAGATATTCGGCCCGTTCGGTACAGTCTAGACAGCGCCACACCACGCGCGCAAGACCTCCACGACATGCTCAATGAGTCGTCCCGGCTAAGGTCTAGCAGCACAAGCAGCCTTGAAAGTTTGTATATTCCACACACTCATCCTACAACTGAAAGGTCTAACGCGAAACAGAAATCGACGAGGCTAGAGAAGTAGAGACCGATACCGAAAATTACGATGAAGAGCCCTTCGCCACCCCTGCCTTGCCTCAGGAGGATTCGGAAATCAGGGCTCTACGAACCGCTCTACAAGAGTGCTGGACTTTGTGTAACACATTAGCGAATTTGAGCTCGATTCATCGAACACGGATGTTCAACAGCTCAGGTACTCCCGATGCTCACGAAAAAGCTTGGATGGCGTGCTGGAGGCTTTGCCAGCGCCTGTATGACAACCGCGACGAAGAACACTATGATCATCACGTCCGAGAGAATCTCGATCATTGCCGAGACTTTTGCCAGTCCCTTTTCGACGTCCGCCAGAGGAAGGATGAAGTTGCTGATTCCGTTTTGAGAGTCAGTTTTGAACTGAATAACCAGTCAGTCCATTCCAGAGATCCATAAGGGTTGGACAAATTAGCTAACCATGATCCAGTCTCTATAGCGCTCAGGACATCCAGAACCTCCCAGAACCCTTCCGGGAGCGTACTCTAGATTTCTATATTACTCTTTGCCATCGATTGATGAAACAGCGAAGCGAATTGGCCGATGAGACGGACTCTTTGCTGAAGGCGTGTTGGTCACTTGCCGAGATGCTTTTCAGTCTGAGACAGAATAAGCGTGACGGAAGAGCTCCTGACGAGGAGCTCCTGTGTTCAGCGGTACAGGCATGCTGGGAGCTTTGCGATCTCTTCAGAGACGGGTGGACCCAAGTGCGGCCAGACCGAAACACCCCACGACCGAGCCAGACGAGCTTCTTCGGCCATCAGCAGCAGTATGATCAACCTGCTCGAGGTGAGAGCAGAGCGTCAAACCGATCGTCATACTCAAAGAGGGAAAGTCACAAAAGCCTGACCGAGGAGCGGCCACGAAAGCCGCCACCAGTTCCTGAAACTCCCGTGACTGAATTTGAAGACACGCCGATCTCTCCAGAGAGCTCCTCACCCCGAGTGCCAAATATTCTTGTTCTAGGCACAACATCTGACAGCGGACGTGGGGGACGATGGTCGAGCAGCGCTTCGCAATTGTCGAGCTACTCGCAAAGCAGCAACAAGACATCCAGCACGGCAACAACGACTACGGCAGGCGAGGACAGCAACAGCAACCGCATCAAAGCCCTCGTCATCAAGGCTGCCATGAACGTTGGCTTTGCTCGAGACCCGGCTCTTGACAGTAAAGCTGAAAAGTCAGCTCTTCAAGCCTTTGTCAAGCATATGCCCACGGGCTCCTTCGGGTCTTTACCTGCGCACTCGACACTTTTACAGCACTACAAGAACCTTGTGCAAGCCGACTCGGCGTTCAGGGGATCTTCGTTGCTTCCGGCCCATGGCAAACGTATCTCGGCGCATGACCTGGCCAAGAGCGTCCACTACATGAACCAAAGATCTAGCCAGTATGTCTTCTTGCGCGACCTGTATAGGCTCGTGTTTGGCTTCCCACCAGAGGAGGGCGAGTCGAGAAAATCAACAACCATAGTGGTCTGAACGTCTATTTCCCCTCAAATCTTGTCGCATTTGTCTTGTTTTCGTTTTCTTCAGCTGCATTGTTCTTTGGGGTTTCCCCACGAAAACTACTTTTACAGCTTACTACACCACCTTCATAAGGCAGAACAAAGCGGGCAGGTTTATTGCGAAGAAAGTTCTGCTTGGGGAGGTCAGAGTCGCAAACAAACGCACACAAACACACAAGCAACATGCAAAACACACAACATATCTGGGGGAGAGCACCCGTCTGTTCGTTTCTACTGCACTAGATACCCATCGTGGACGGATTTTGGCGCCGGGAGCTTGGACAATGGGAGGCTAGAAAATCGTGTGTCTTTTTCAATACCGTTATGAGAACAATGGAGGCTGGGAGCGTCGTTCGTTACATTACATGTCACAATGGATATTGTGGCCAACCTGGGAGGAAATCATCTTATAGCCTATGTCGCAATGACCACCAACTACCTATCTATCTATTTGCAAGCTACCGTGCCTGCGTATCGAAGGTCCAAATATGGTGAGTTCATTGTTGAAGCGGATTTTGTCGAAAAAGAGGAATCTGCTGAAAAAGGGAAGAAGAGGGGTATCGTATTGGAAAGTAGGAAAGGTGTTTTGTGATGCTTCGTTGTGTTTTAGGCGAAAGAAATTTTGTGTGTGAACCGTAACCCAGAGATGGTATGCAAGAAGAAAAAGTGCGGATCGTAGCTCTACTCGAGAGGACCAAAAAACTGCTGAGAATAGTCGGCATGTTCCTGTGGCTCTGCACTGGACATGAACAGTTCTTCCCAATCGGCATTGCTCACGTTGTTCCAGTCGATGCTGATGCCGCCAGAGAAGCTAGCGACGTTCTGGCCTTCGGTTTGTTGCTGCGTAGAAGTCAAGGCTCCGGAGCCTTGGTATGTTCGTCCGCCGGCGCTGGCCATCATCTCAGCATAGCCATAAGGTGCAGAGGTTTGGGGATACTGTGAAACGAGCGGATCGAAGTCTAATCCCGGCGCGGTATCATAACCAGTCATACCCTGCCAGGTGTCTGATTGGATGCCCCAGAAGTTGCTCTCTTCCTCGTTGTAGGGTGCTTCCCATGGCGCATGTTGCATGGACTGGGAGAAGTTGAGGCTGGGGCTCGCAGATAACATTGTTGGGTCTGCCTCTGTCCACATGGGAGCAGCTGGTAGATTTGGTTCCTGGAACATAATATTCTCGAAGTTGACGGTGCTATAGCCAGCTGAGTTCATCTGACGATCGAGCTGTGTGAAAAGCGAGCTGTCAGTTGTTGGTCCTTGAGGATACTCATTGTCGATGCTATTGAGAAGCTTTGTCAGGGGTGACAAACTGGGATCCCTCTCCGCATGCACATGATCTGCGCCCATTCTCAGATTCTCGGGGGTTCCGGGGACTTCGGGAAGATTGACGTTGAGTTGGCTCAACGCTTCATCATGTCCTGTCGTCTGGGATGCGTTGTTGTCTGGCACCGGGGATAAATACTGAGCGGGGAGCTCCTGGGAATATGTCTTCTGCGGCTGGGTCTTCAGACGCTTCGGAATCCTCTCTTGAGGTCCCTCAAGCACTAAAGGAGATGAACCTGAATCCGGGGCTGTGATCGATTGTTCACCCGCTTCCTCAAGCTCACCTCGCTTTCTCTTCTGCACTGTAGAAGGGAAGAGAACTTGCTCGTAGTACTGCTGAACAGGCTGTACACCATACGGGCGGTCGGGATTTTCCTGGAACATCTGCAGAATCTTTTCGTGTGCGGCAGCATACTCCTCTGCGTCGACACGCGCTTGCTCATCCTGCTGCTGTACCTTCTCAGAGGACAAAGCCAGATTCTCGGGAGCCTCTGAGGGAGAGTCGTACACATAGCTTGCCAGGACCTGCAGCGTGTGATCCTCAGAGACTGAATCATCCTCGTTTGTAGAAGATGTGAATGATTGATCGTTTTGATCGTTTTCGTACTGAATTGGCGCAGCCATTGCTTCCCTAAGTTGATTGAAATTAGTAACTTTGTCACGTCTCCTGAGAAGCGAAACCGACTTACTGCCATGGAGATGGAACCGCAGTCTTTCTATTACCGCCGTTGTCCGGGACCTGTCCATTGATCATTGCCGTACTGCCAAAGAATTGTCAGAAAGTGGCACTCTTTACTCTTTTTCAATCAAAGAAGGAGAGAGTAAGGGAGGCATGGGCCAGTAAAAGTAGTGAGAGGGCCCATTGAAGAAGAGAACTTACCCGAATTCAGGATCATGGCCATATTTGGCTCTGACGTATTTCAGTTGGGCCATGGTGAGAGTCTTGCTGAATCGCTGCTCGTACTCGCGCAAGGTGTCTTTGTGATCCTTGTCCTTGGCGAGACTGTGCTGGAGAATGAAGATAATTTCTTCCTCGGTATAGGTGATTTGACCAACCATCCTGGAGGTTAGTCGTTTGTTCGCTGTAATTGCAGGTATATCAGGTGCATACCGAGAGGTCGTGTGTCTGTGGATAGGATGGTTTGGGTTGATTTGTTTGGGACAGTATGTGAGAAGAGGAAGAAGGTTAATGTGAAGTGAAAAAGTGAAGAAGTTTGGAAGTGAGGAAGCGAGGAGAAAGGACCGCAGGAAGTGATACACGGTTTTTCTCGAGGCAGGAGGGAACGACGGGGGATTCTTTAAAAGGCAGTGATTCAGAGCTGCAGATTTACACGGAAGGGGGAAGGAGGTTCTCCCGGGGGAAGGTGCCTCTCGTCATGAGCTGGACACTCGGCAGGGCAATACGTTGGGACGGACGGTGAAGTTGGCTACACCTGACTATCGTATGTCAAGGCATCCGAGTCATCTATCATCGAATTCTGTTTTGTCTAGATCTAGATCTAATTTGCGGGCGCGCGCCTATGCCATCGTCTTTCGTCTAATTAATGTCTTAAGTAGTCTCCAAGCTCCATCATTTCACCGATTGCTCCTGTAATATTCAAGCTTGCTGCTTGCGTGCAAAGATTCCCCACCAACAAGTCACGTCGGTGCCCTCCTTGTCCTCACCCCAGTCATCCTGGCCATCGAGTGTTCCTTCCTCGATACATAGTAGAGGGTTTTCTTGGCTTCCCATAGCATCTCGGAAAGCCTTGAGAAGCTTTTTGGTGGTTTCGTCTCGTAGTGGGACCATTACAACTGCGCGGGCCTCGTCTGTGGTTGATAGCTGCTCAGAGAAAGCACCTGCTAGAAGCCCTGGATGACAGTCGTCGTAAAGGGGATCAGCAGCGAGGACAACCTATGGGCCAGATTAGCAGTCTCTATGTAGCAACTTTCAATGGCCAGGTACCTTGAATTGGTTTCTTTTGCCAAAGAGGTCCTGGTCAACTTCATCATCCCCTGAGCCACCCCAAGTAAGCGCACCAGCGTTCAATGAACCTCCCAGCTTCTCCACCGTTGTACGGTTGGCCTCGACGTTATGGCAGAGATTCGACATGATGTCTGGCAAGTCGCTCAGAATCACATGGGCCTTCCACAAAGCTGCCGCCGCAAGTCCAAGTAGGCCTGTGCCAGAACCTAACTCTAAGACTGATGGCCGCGGCTCGCCCAGAGATTCGTCAAAAAGCCGGAAGAGAGCTGTCGAACCGATAGATGGCAAGTGCTTGGCAAGAACGTAAGAAGAGCCCCAAGTCTTAAGACCAAGTGAGTCGCCGGTCAGGGGCGGCTCCCGGATGATGAGCTCAAATGTTGGCGTGAGGTCCTCTTCTCTGAAGGGCCATCGCCGGATAATCTCGCCCATGGCTACATTCGGCATCAGAGGCTGCGCAGTTCAGGAAAAGCAGGAGCCATCTTCAACACATACCTGTTCTTCCACATCGTTCCGTCATCCTGCGGCTAGCCTCTGACCATACTTCCTCCTTCTTGTCATCGTCCTCGATCCAGGAGAGACCACTCTTGATAATGGACGACAGGTACATCGTTACTTCGCGTCGAAAATATGCCGTGGCCTCTTGCTCATGAATGATATCGGATCGCCTGCGCTTGTGACTCCATACCGGAGGGCTAAGTTCCAGTTGCTTCAGTGTGCTGAGTAAGTCATCACTTGACGGCTTTTGCCACATTTGCGGGAAGTCTTTCGGTTCGAGTATCATGGTTGCGGATTAAGAATCTACGTGCAATCGTATACTACGATCACCTGAATCTAGTAGAAATCGCGTTAAAGGAGAAGAAAATTAAGAAATAATGTTGGCCAGAAGAAAAGGTGCGTAGTCGACGACAAAATGAGAAAGGGGACATGTGCCTCAGCGTCACGGAAATTTTGTGCGGCGGTCTGGACCTGACCAAAGACCCCATCGCCAATACAAAACCATGGAAGGGACCTCACGCAGGAACCGTAGCGGCACGCCGATAAGGATTCTTATCGTGAAGCTTCGGGACCCATAAAACGTGGAGTCCAGATCTGGCAGGTGGGGGGTTGCTTCGAGGGGTCTTTCCTTCCGGAGGTACCTGCCAATCCAGCTCGCTGATTGGTTAGCCTCATTTGCAAGGCTGCCGCCAAAGACCCTTGCAACCCCACGTCACAAAAAATTCATATATAAAGCGCCAATTTCCGCGCAGAGTCTGACTCCTCTTCTTTTTTCCCTTCTTCAAGCACCGTCCTCTTCAACGCTGCGTTTCTATGCTACAAACGGAGAGATGTACGCGCTAGCGGAAGTCTCTCATTCTACCAAGCTGGCATATGAGAAATTCGGAGTAACTTCTTCACACCACTCACCCAATGTCGCCTGCCTAGTGCGGGATGACGGGTCTGCCCGCGAGGGTCTGGCGTGACTTCACGTCTGCAATTGGCATCAGAAAAGCAGGGCCCGGGCCGTTCTCATGTATACCCTGATTTCCTCTGGGAAGAGGGGAAAGATGAGCTCTGGACTCGGTGTCCCTATGGGAGAGCCGTTGCGAAAAGATTGTGCAGAGCACTTGAGTGCGATACGCAGCGTCTGGATCCTGGCTGGCTTCGGCTGACCAGGCTCTTGACAATTCAATTCCGATCATTCTGTTGAGGACGGTGCTTCACCTTTTTTTCTTCTCAGGTAAGATACATCTCTTTTTCTGTGATTTCGGCTTTGTGGACTAAGGATACTACTAACGAACAATATGCCCCCTAACATTGTAGTCTATATCTCCCTTACTTCGCCTCAACTCCAACCTTGACCGACAGATATCGCAAACACCAATCGCCATCTTCCACGTCAGTCAGTACAGTACAATTTCAGCAAGAAGTGATCGACGACCCATTAGAATTTGACCATTGCCCACCGTATCGGTCACGACAGGCTCTAAGATGCGGGCTGTTCTTCGCCATTGCCGTTCCAACTTGGATCATTGGACTTTGTGGTTCCCGAGCTTCTAGCCGGCAACTTATGCAGCACGGCTTTCCAAATATTGGAAGTGGTATCGGCCAGACTCCGAGCTCTGTCGAGGCGCGCCACCAGATCTTCGCAAACGAGATTATCTTCTGGGGCTTTTGCGGCCAGGTCGACTACTTCCTTGACAGCGTCAATGACCACCTTGAAGTGGCCCTCGGCGTCTGGTGATCTGTCGTCAAAGCCGGAGGCTAGCGGCGAGTTCTTCATCTGAGCACCTTCAAGTGATTGCAAACATGTCTCTACCTGCGCCATTGCCGTATCGAAGTTAAGCGGTAGTGGTGATCTTTCCATGTACGCCGCCTTCTTGCCTTTCTCTGCGTCTTTCGACAGCATGTCGACCCAGATATGATTCCGCGTCTCTGGGCTGGACTCCTTGTTTTTCTCCACCTGCCCCAGGAACTTTTTGAACGCAGCTTCGTAGACCTCGTGTGCAATTTCAAGCTGGTCATGGACTTGAACTAGCAATAACCTGATCTGGATAAGGCGATACTGGCGGCTGCGGGCAGAGGCTTCTGGGTCTCGCGGAGCCTGTTGAACGAGCGAAAGGCGTCCCACGGCTTTCTGAACGCGCTCAATCTCGTCTTCGCTTGCTTCGCCTGGGCGGTCCCCGCGTTCCCTGGCCTCGGTATTCTCCCGGTGTCGGCCGCTCGATAAGGGGCTCACGGTCGGTGAGGATGCCCGTTCGTGCGGCGGTCGCACGTAGTAGTACGGCGCGAGATATGCCTCAATCTCAAGCGGCGAGGGCAGCGGCGCGTATCGCGCTGGGTAAGGCCTCCGTGGACTGTAGTGGAAAGGAGGATCGTACAGATTGCGAGACATTGCCCCAAAGGAGTGATGAACCTAGTGTTGTACGTTGTGACAAACCGGTTGGTGATGTTGGTTAGCTAAAGGGAGCTTAAGATTGCTTCCTTTCGATGCTACAGAGGTTGAAGAGTCTCTAGCTCGGAGCTGTGATCTGGGAGCAGGCATCTGTCATATTTGAATGGCTGAAGGCGTCTTGCCGTCCTGCGAACGACTCTAAGTCTTCTCAGACTTGATGACCACGTCTTGGAACTTCCATCATGTGAAAGGAACTGTCAAGGAGCGGGAGTCCGCACGTCGATTTTCTGCAGCTTGGCACTGCAATAGACACAGAGACAGACCGCTCTCTGCGCCATTCCTTCATCTTGTAAGTTCTCACTCGTCTTTGTTTGGGCAATACTGCATGTTTGCTCTTCTTTTTGTTGAAATGGCTCAGGTACTGAGTCATTATCTGTCTACTTGCTATTCCATCCTGAGAGTACCTCACCCCCAAAGAAGGAAGAAGGTACGCAAAACTAGCCTCTTGGAAATCTGTCTTAGGGAGATTTGCGCATCTTGCTCTTGTCGAGACTCTACAATCAGCTTTGTCTTGAGCGCATATCACGCAGAAGATAAGACGTTTTCCTTCACAAACGGACAAACCCGTCTTGCTGGAGCCGACTTATATAACAATACGAGAAATCATTATCGCCTCTTCCATATTCGCACCTAACCCTTCATGATTTCCTATCTTGCCCTTTCAATAGACCACCTTACCCAACAAATCTACCTTCTTTGCTTGAGCATTGCATATCATCGGCAGCGGCATAGCCAACGGGGATGACGTGGGATATCCCAAGTAAAGTTTTCGTGACATTGCAACATCGGACACTGGTGGCAACCGCCACACCTTCCAAACAAACAAAACAGACCCCCCCTCCCCCGACCCCGGGAAAGGCTAAATAAAAACCAACGGCGGGCGGGCCGGGAGCCGGCGTAGGTGTGGGGTTCTGGAGGCTGGAGCTTGGTCGGTCTAGCTTGGCAAACCCGGGACTCCTTCCTCCACCTCCCACACCTTCCGGTCCACCCCGCTATTACGGAGTACACTAGAAATGGATTTGTAAGGTAAGTAAGGTAGATACGGATAGGAAAGCAAAGTTCGCGATTCATCTGCCAACACATCGGAGGATCACAGAGAAAATACCCCCCCCCCCCCCCAATTCAAGCTTTTTCTTCTCTTTGCTGGACAGAAACCTCGGATAACGTCTTCCTTTGGGGAAAGAGCCACTCATGTCTATGGTGGCGTACATTTCGGATGTTGGTTTGCTTTTTCCCAAAGGTTTTCACTTTCTTCATTGGGGCCGTGGCTGCTGCAGGACAGGATCACAGGATGTAGGTGGGCAAGCAAACCAAAAAAAGTTTGCATAGGTGCCTTGCAGATAGATTCATCTTCTACTAACCTCTTTGTGGGCCAAAGTCAATCTGTCATCTACTTTGCTTGTTTGCCTGCAGGGAAGACTAGATCTGGATAGCGGGTAAAGAAGAAGGAAAGAAAGAAAAAAAGATGACAAAATCGAGAGACATGAGGATGTATGTGCAAGATCCCCTCCCCACACCCATCTTCAGCAAGGTCTGAATCAAAATTTTGTGGCATTGAGGCTTGAGAACCCGTAAACCCCGTCCGTTGCGTATTGACAGGTTCTCCTACCCGGGAGAAACTTGAGTGTTTTCTAGAGGGTTGAAGCGATGGGGAATATTGATGCTCACGTAAGGAAAGGCAACAGCAATCTCTACCAAAAAGTCACGGCCCTCCGCCGCCAAAGCGCTCGCTTGCCTTCCTCTTACCCTGATTTCAAAAACAAAAAACAAAAAAAGAAAACAAGCAGAAATACTAGAACAATCCATCTTCCGCTGACATATCTTGTATCTTCTTCTTCTTTCTTGCTTTGCCCACCTACCCACCCCCGAGAACAAATTTCCCAATACCCATTTTACGCAGTAATGAATTGCGGGGAGCTCTAGTGGAGTACGCAACCTCCCTCCTTCCAAGCGGAAACCCTCCCGCTGGTCCTGCGGAACAACGGATGGGAAAGCACAAGTACTTCATGTCACGATACAAGCAAAAGCAGGTCAGATCAGGGAAAGTTGATCAAACGGGGACTCCAAATGGGAGGGGGGCGATCAATTCCTCCTCGACTGTATCTCGATCATGGCCTGGCAATCATCGTGTGCCCAAAAGGTATCTGTACCTGGCCCCGTATCGAGGTAGCCAAAAAATTAAAAACAATTGGAGGAGAGATGAAGGAGGAGGCGCACGGCCGTTTTCGACAGAACAAACAGCCAAGGATTTGCAGTCTGCAGCCAGGAGGGCGGGGGGGTCCGTCATGACGTTGATACCCTGTGCATGAACAAACGCCGCCTTGTCTCTCAGCATTCGTAAGGATACACAGCATCATGATTGTTGTCGACTCAAGTTGGGATATCGCCAGGCCCAGCTGTTTCAATTCAAATCAATCAGTCAGAGTCAGGCAATTTAATCGTTCAAATGACTTTCATTTGGATACTGTTCTGTTTTGTGTAGCTGACTACCACCTGGTATCAATCAAAATGAAGAAGACAAGAAAGTGAGTATCTCCAAGAGGAAGAATTCCTGGCCCGCATCCACGGTTTACCAGTTAGTTGGGGGGGTTTTCCAGAGTCCATGCAATCCTATATGCTGGTCGCCAATGCCCGTTCCGTCCCCTGTGATGCAATCCCAGCCCAAGTGAAAAGAAAAGAAAAAAAAAGGTGAGAAAATCATTTCGCTGTTGCTGATGCTGTCAAGTGGCCGTCCAGTCGAGGACTCTCTTGAGATGTCCTGAAGAATTATCGCTTTTTCCAAAGAAATCCCAAAACACGTTTCTGCGCCTTCGCCTTCTTGGCTGGGGCTTCTTTCGCCATCTTCTTCGTCGATACATTGCTCTTGGCAAGCGGCCGTTCAAGCAGTTTGCAATTGTCCGTCTTGGTCCCTCCCTAAGCGACCGCGATGGGAGCGCTGCTGGGGACGCTGTTTGGGGGCGGGCATTCCTTGTAAATCTCAATCTTGAGAGTTTTCAATCGCTGACGCATGTCGAGGAGATCCGCCATCTTGTCCTCAGGTGGGTTGCGCATGTCTGCAATCTCCCAGTGCAGAGCCTCATACTTTTCATAGAACACCTTGAAACGCGCGGCTTTGCTGACCAGGTCGGGGCTGAGCCCGCGCTGACGCTTAGGGGCTTGCTTGGTCCGGGCGCTCTCGTTGGAGTCGGAAGATTCCATAGCCTTGCGCTTCTTGGGTGGTGCTGAGTGTTCAAGATCCGACGCATTCGTTGGCGGTGACGAAGCCAAAGGCGACGACTTGGCCGGTGATGTATTTTTGCTCTTGAGAGAGACGCCAGATGAGTTGCGGGATGATGCATGTGAGACTTCTGCAGGCCGTTGCTTGAGGCTGACGGGCGCCTTGATGGGCGCCTTGGGCTTAGCACGCTTGGCCAATGGGGCGCCAGAACTTGAGCTACTGTCGTCTGCCTCCTCTTCCCTCTGTCGCTTGGGAGGCTGTGGTTTGGCCGCCTTGACAGTCTCTCGTGGAGGTTGAGGCGACTTTTCCTTGGGCCTCTCAATTGATCTCTCCACCGTCCGCTCTACAGGCTTTTCAACTGGCCTAGCTTTTGCCTTGGGCACGGCAATCTTCGGCTTTGGCGGGAGTGCATGTTCGACCCTTCTCTTGGGGGCAGGTGCAGCTGCAGGCGCTGGTCTGGGCTTGGAAGCCACAATGCTCGCCATCGGCTTGTCCTCCGAAGACTCTGAATCCGAGTCTGAGTTGGTGACAAACTCTGCAGAGAGAACCCGGCCGTTCTTGCTAGCTGGGGCTGCTTTCTCCTTTGCTTTCGTCGGCGCAGCCTTGGGCGTCGCGGGCTTCTTATTCGTAGATAAGAGACGCTTCACCTGAGAGTCGGCAGCCTTCTTCGGTTTTGGCGGTAACGGATTCGATGATGACCGTGACATTGTCTCGCCGCCTTTCATCTTGAGGACGTCTTCGTCGCCGTTGTCGCTTGTTGCGTCGCTGACCTTGATCTTGGGAGGCGGTGCGGCGGAGGCCTTGGCGATATTTGCCTGCAACTTACTGAGGATCTTGCCCTTTCCTCGCTCTTCCCGCGGCAAGAGCTTCTGCCACTCAGTTTCCGTTGTTGCCAGCCGCATCTTATCGAATTGACGGATTGCGTTGTCGATCGCTTTCTGTCGGGTATCTTGGGTATCATATTCGTACTTCCACACGTCCAACTCTCTCCAGTAGTTCTTTCTCAGTGCCCACATCTGCGTGTCCGGCTCGAACTGGGCCACCTTCTCCAGGGCAGGCTTGAAATCTTCGTCTTTGCCTTCCCATAGGCTCTCCAGGTAGTCGGCCGGCCGCTCCTGCACCGCTAGTTCGTGTACAATCATAGATCTTTGCTCCTTGGACTTCTCGACGATCTGTTGCGAAGAAGCGTATACAGGATTTATCGACGGTGAGCTGACGGCTACCAGAGCCGGTGACCCTGAGGGCGACGACTTGCCGCCACCATTGCCGTATGACGCCATGCTCGACAGCAACTTGGACTTGGCTGTCTTTCCCGTGGCCTTCTTGTTGGTGCCCGGCAGCGGCCTATCCATGACCTTTGATCTATTGCCTTTGTTAGTTGTGTCATGATCACCATGACCCAGCCGCTGTCAACATACTGCTTCTTCGATGCCGTCGCCGCTGCGATGGAGTTCTGCAGATTCTCTATATCTGAGTCCATCCCGGACGACGAGGTTGAAGGTGCACCCTTGGCCTTGGCCTGCTCGCCCTTCTTGGGAGCCTCGGAGCCGGGTAGCTTCTTCCATAGTGAGGATGTTTGTGGTAGTCGTGTAGCTCGTTTCGTCGATTCGAATGGTTTCGTGAGGAAGAGGTCGTGTGAGAATGTCGCGGAGATGGGAGAGAGGGTGTGGGAACTGGAGCCGTAAAGCAATGTCTTGGTAGCGAGGAAGCATTAGCATATGTC